TAATTAAATTGTAATAAATATAAAATATTTATATGAGGTATGTTCATAAATTTTATAATCAAACATTAATCGAGTTTATTCATTAGCACTATATTGAACAAGAATTGAGCTTATTTACAAGCTATAAATGACATTGTTCGTGAACATAAATGAGTCGAGCATATACTTGTTTAAGTTTATTTATTTAAGCATCGAGTATTTAAAAAATATTCAACCTTAATTATTTAATTAAATGATCACGAGCAAGCTTTAATTGAGTCGAGCCACGAGTAGCCTGTTAACGCCCTGTTCCTTTGCAAACTACGACGAATTATTGCATCTGGTCACCTGACATCCGGACAACCAATTCGGATGTGCCACGTCACTCAAATACATCGGAGCCAGATGTATTTTGCTGATGTTACGCGTCTGAATTGATATCCGAAAGAATCCAAACACCGGACACAATAATTTGCCGCAAACTACAATGAAGTTCACCAAAGCCCATATTTATGAAAAAGATCAACTATCAATAAAGCAAACAATACCTAACTTTTAAGTCTATTTGGATTTCCTTTTATGTTATGCAATGTCAAATCAATCACTAAAGATAACAGCAAAATTCCAAAAAAAAAAAATTAAAAGATTAGTGGCGATAATTTCAATGTAAAGATTTCAGTGATGAGAACATTCTGTTGATTTGGCAAATTTCACCCTCAATAAAATAGTGAAATAATAATCGTTTCATTAATTAATCCAACAAATTTAAATATATTTATAAATAATAAATTTGTAAATGAGCAAGATTTGATAACTTAGGTTTCGTTTGGAACAGCTTTTTCATTTTTTTTTTTGTAAAGTTATTTTTTAGTATAAAAATACATTAAAAGCATGAAAAAAACAGTTATCTAAAGCTATTCTCAAAGGAAGTCTTAGGTTTCGTTTGAGATGTTTTTTTTATTGCTTTCTAAAATAGAGTTTTAGTACAAAAATAAAAAATTTTGTATTAAAACTCAGTTTTAGAAAGCAATAAAAAAGCCGTTACAAACGAAGCCTTAGACTTAGGGTTCGTTTGGGACAGCTTTTTTATTGCTTTCTAAAACGGAGTTTTAGTAAAAAAAAATTTATTTTTGTACTAAAACTCCGTTTTAGAAAGCAATAAAAAAGCCGTCCCAAACGAAGCCTTAGTTTGACACAACTTTTTTGTTGCTTTATTAAACAACCTTTTAATACACAAATTTTTTGAATTAGAAATTTTTATGCTAGAAAGTTGTTTTAGAAAGCAGTATGAAAGCTGTCCCAATAAGATAGCTTTTGGCCACTATTTGTTATGCTGATTCAAAAGAAAATATACTAAAAAGTTATTGTAGACGAAATCTTAATGTTATGCTTTTCTAATGCTTTGCAAAGGACTTTTCCTATGATTTTTTCCCTTAAATGATTCATTTACAAAAAAAATCATTCGTTTATTTATGTTCATGGAGTTTATAAATGTTAATCTATTTTACTTTTTATAATGAATATGTATCTTATATCTCATCAATAAGAGTTAATAAGTCTATAGGACCAACAATTAATCTCTTATAATTACCAATATTAGAATATCTATTTAACAGGGGATTATCATTAAGCTTTTGTTTGGAATGACTTTTTTACTGCTTCTTAAAACAATTTTTTAATACAAAAATTAAAATTTTTGTAAGTCTAAATAGCGAGAGATAAAATCATGGATAATATAAATGTCATAGTTGAAGTCTTGAAGGAGAGATTAATAATATTGTTGATTATCAATCGATATTTGTTATCTTATCATTTTTTATTTGAGCTATTTATTATCATTTATTTGTTATTAATTTTATCTTGGCCAAGATTTCTCAATCTTATGATTGTATCTTTAATTTTGACTATTTTGTATATATACTCTCATTTCCTTGGGGCAAAAAGACTCGACATTGTAGGATAAATTATTATGTATGCGGTCATCGGATGCTGTCCGGAGGCGAATCAGGATGCGTCGCATCACTTTTTTCTGTGTACCAGGTGATATATGTGGTACATTTTGATTTGCCTCCGAATGGTCCGGTAACCGCTCAAAATAATTTCTCACATTGTAGAGGGAAATTGTAGTGCCTGTGAAGGCTTCTATACCTCTTAGAGTTCCATCATTGAGTTGAGAGAAGAACCAATGTTCTTCTATAGGTGAAGAGATGATATATACCATGTTTCTTGACATTGTTGAATATGGAGAAGGAAAATAAGAGCACTATTAGCTCAACAAAAATTACTCAAAGCACTTGAACATCCTATTGCTTGGCTAGACATCTTCTTTTAAAGATCAGAAATATGATTTCCTGGAGACAGCAAATGGTAATTTTCTGTTTGTTTTCATCTTTCTGATTCTATTATTAGATTTGGTGATGAAGATAAAGATTCTTCTTTCAAGACTTTGAAGAGATTAGATGAGTTATTTGAAGTTAAATCTCTAACAAACAAAATTTCAAATGAATCCTTCTAAAGCTCTTGATCAAAATCTTGATGGATTTCTTAAAATGAAGAACTAAACGATGGAAATTAAGCTATTATAATTTTGAATTCATTGCCTGATTCTCTCAAGGAAGTGAAAAGAACCATCAAATATGGGAGAACTTCTATTACATTGGAAGAAGATTTGTCTGCTCTTTGGTCCAAAGGAATTAAGTGGAGCTAAAGAATGAGAAACAAGCTTCTTTTAATGATTAGGTTGCAGAACTCAAAGGTAATTTTTGGTTGAAAAAGAACATGGATAAAAATGGTACAAAGCTGTCTTCAAATGGAACTCAGAAATTAACTAATTAAGTTTTTTGTATAGAATAGTTTTTCTATTATTTTGATGATATGAAAGATAGTCCGTTAAGAAGTAATGTGTGTTTGAAAAATAGTTTTTTAAAAAGCTGTTTTTGAAGAAGCATTTTTAAAACTGTAATTCTGAAAAGAATTTTCAAAAGCAAAAGCAGAAAAATTTGTGCCCCTCAAACAAAGCCTAAGCTTTAATTTTTATATTAGAAAGTTGTTTTAAAAAGCAGTAAGAAAGTCATCCCAAACGAAGCCTTAAAGCAGATGAGCATGAATCCAAATCAATTTTAGAATGTATTCATGCAGATTTATTGGGGCTAAGGAAGAAAACTGCAACATAAAGTTCATAAATGGATGCATCACTGCATAATTTCCAAAGTTTTTTTATACAATAGTTGCTTTCTTCACTGTATATTTAGATTTTCAGATGAAATTTAGGCTTAAAATCATATGATTAGCATAGAATAATTGTCACTTGCTGTGCAAATTACTTTTCAATACTTTCAGTTTTAGTAGTTGTGAACCATCACATCTTCATTTAGGTTTCGTTTGAGACAGCTGATTTCTTACTGTTTTCTAAGACAATTTTTTAGTACAAAATTTTTTCGAACTAGAAACTTTTGTACTAAAAAGCTATTTTAGAAAGCGGCAAAAAAGTTATCCCAAACAACATTTTAGACATATACAGGCTTATTTATAAGCTCATCTGAAGTATTTTAATCCATTATTTAATCATCATACGGTCATTTTTGCTCTTGAAATCAAGAGAGTTCTCCATGCATGTCTAAATTTTAGACATATATGCTTGCTGATAAGCTTATTTACTGTATCATTGAAGCTCATATACAAGCTTGTTTATTTGTTTTGTTCATTTACATAAATATTTATTCATGCTCATTTAAACATTTATATTGCTTACTAGCTCATTAAGACATTGTAGTTCATATTGGTGGTTGAGATATTTGGATCCTAAGTAAGTAAAGAAACTCGGTCATCTAAATTTTTTTGCAAGTGCCATCATGTGGGTAATAGAACACTTGATCTATAAAAATGGTGCATAATTTGCAAGTTTATTAACTCTATATAAGGCAAGATACAAGAATTTAGAAAAGCTCTTGTGAGAGTTATGTTCAACTTATGTTAATAACTTCCCCTGAATAAAATTTGTTAGGATCTTGGGGGAAGATATATCCTTTCTTGAATATAGAGGGAGAGAGGAATTGGGCTTGGCTTGACAGGTTTGCTCGTGGAGTTAATGCAGGGAGCTGGACAGATCGCAGTAGGCCCACAGCTGGTTCTTTGATCATAAAATCTGACCAAGGTAGAGAATGTTGTGTATTGGTCCGGTTTTCGATTAGATTGTTCCTGCACGACATCATACCGATGTAAAATCCTTATAAATAGCATATAGGTTGATGTATATTCACATCTCCAAAAGATGAATAAAGGTCCCTGTTATATCCCTTCTCTCTCCCACTCTCTCTCTCTCTCTCTCTCTCTCTCTCTCTCATCCAAGATGAAAAAGAAGAACCTCTCTTCCTCCTCCAAGAAACATAACAAAATTTCATAGTAAAAATATAATTATGTAATTAAAAATGGACAAACTTGCATCATTTTAATAAGCTCCATCATTCATGATCCTATGTTTTAATTAGATTTTATATTCATTAAACCATGATGAATAAATTCTATGCAATTTGTTCCCATTTTGTATTTGAATGAATCATTATCATGAAGATCTTTGTAATCTATCCCAATCATTTTAATGACACATTGAAATATTTTTCTTAATCCTAAACAACTAGATTATCATCTAGATTGAATCATACATAGATTTATTTGAACTTTACTGAATAGTTTCTGTTAAAAATAGCTTTAGGCTTTCTTTTGAAGTATTTATGTATATCGGATTGAATAAAAAGCTACTTAAATTAAAAAATATTTTTATAATAAGCTATTTTATAATTACTAAAATGAAATTAGAAATGATTTCAACCTCTTTTCACATTTTTTTAATAAAATTTCAATAGATTTTGCCCTATAAAGCTGGCAAAGAACTTGTGTGTGATATCCAATATGTTGAAGTCTAATATTTTATTTGGGGGAATTTTCTTAATGCTTTATAAACCAACTTTCTAGTACAAAAAAATATAACGTATGATCACCGGACTATCACGAGGCGAATCAGAATGCGTCATGTCATCCGGTACATAGCAAAATGATGATGTTCTGCACCTTGATTCGCCTCTGGACAACGTCCAATGACTGCACATAATAATTTCTAATATATGAGATATGCTATTTGACAATCTCTGATATCTTATGAATTAAACAATGAGAATTCGCTGATGCGAGTAACTGTGTGAATCATGTAAAGACAACTCCTGTGTCAAATCACAAAACTTGTGAATACAAAAAATCTAAGACACGCAACTCACCTTGACCTATTGGTAGCTTAGGCTACCAATTAAAATGTCTTGGGTTCGAGTCTTGTGCTTGCGATGTGTATATGAGTCTGTTGTAATTGGTCTAACTTTCCCAAAAAAAAAAAAAATCTAAGACACTTAAAAATTTATAACATATAAAATTGGACAGACTAAGGTCATCTCCAACGAAAAAACTTATTTTCCAATTCTAAATACAATAATACTTCAAAATACAGTAACTCACTATTAGACCGGTCCAGCCGGTCCACGCGGGACCGGCCCAGGCGGAGAACGGGCGGAATTTCTCCGTCTCTTCCGTTAGCCGCACGCACGCGAGGCTTGAGAGCTCCTTTTAGGAAGGTTTTTGAATGGATTCTAGGAGGGAAATTGAATGTAGGGATTGTTTAGGGATTTCCTTCTGATTTGTATGCATTAAATAGTTGATTTTCCTAGGGTTTGAGTATCTTGAATTGGGCTGAAATTTGGGATCTCTTAGATTTAGGTTTTCTTTGGGCTCTTGGCGTTGCCAGAGATTTGGGAGAGATCGATCCTCCTCTCGAATTGAGGATCAAGTGTATCTTACTAATTTATTCATTATCTAGTGGAATACAAATCTTCATCTCCTATTCTAATTTTCTACTTTTCTTCAATTTGATTACTTGCGTAACTCAAATCTATGTAACATCACAGGTTGGCGATGTCATCGGACGATTCGAGAAGAAAGGTTTCTACCTGAAAGGTATTTCTTTTTTGGATGCATGCATCATCAAGTATTGTGTGGTTTTTTTGGCAAGGCGTGATCTTTTTGAATTTTAGGGTTGAAGCTTATAACCGTGGAGCGGTCCTTCGCTGAGAAGCACTACGAGGATTTATCAGCGAAGCCCTTTTTCGCTGGTTTGGTGGAGTACATCATATCTGGCCCTGTGGTGGCCATGGTTTGGGAGGGTAAGAATGTTGTTGTGACTGGTCGGAAGATGATTGGGGCTACCAATCCTTCTAACTCGGAACCCGGGACCATTCGCGGTGATTATGCAATTGAAGTTGGGAGGTAACATATATTTCATTTTCCTCTTGCTCTCATCTTATGTTCTGATTGAATATTTTTTCTGTTGAAAATTCTTTGAATTGGTTTATGGCCTTCTCCTAAAAGCACTTTTGTTGGACAGATTATCATGGCTGTTCTTGTTCTTTTTATTTTAAAACATTGCTTTGTTTACTTCTGTTATCTGTGTATGATTTGGTGCATCTTTCGTGTGTATTGTTTTGCTGGAAAGTTGTGTTCTTGCGGAGACCGATTTACCATCTTATACATGACAATGAGGGATCTAGCTAAGTACAGTGCTTAGATCTTTATTTGTAACATTGTGCATGATTTCTATATGTACCTAAAAAACATGAATAGCTAATACAGAGAGTTTTCTTAAGCGAGAAACAAAACGATTTTGATAGGAAATACTTGAATATTTCAGGTAAACCCTAACAAGATTGATAAAAACAGCTGAAAAAACTCAACAATTTTAATGGAAACAATAAAGAACAATAGATTTTATTGTACGAATCAAATCAACGGAAACAAACAAAGCAAAGATCCTCAATTCGGGAGGACGATTGTTCTCTCCCAATCTCTAGATGAATCTAGAGCCCAAGACATCAAGAAGAAACTCCAAGAGAACACAATAATCAAGCATAACCCTAACCCTAAACAACTCTTCCTATTTAATATATACATTCTTAATTTCAAATACCGAATTCAAGTTTTCCCTCCCTCCTAGCCGCCCCTACTTCTTTCCCAATTGGCTTGCCTAGTGCGCCCACTAGGCTTGGGCTGCAATCCCCCAAAAGGGGCTGTTTGGGCCGTCTCTTGTAGCAGAGAACAAGCCCTTGCAAGGCCGGCTTAACAAATTTCCTAGTTTTTACAGCTTTGTTTAAGTATATGGATGACGTATGGTAGGTTAGTTTTGACTCTCTAGATTCCAGATGATGCATTTGGTTGTTTGCTTAGCATGCTGAGCTTGGCTTCCTATACGATGAATTATAATGTTATTTAGAACCATATTGTTCTAGAGTTTACATTTAATTAATTTCAAGGAATTTTATTTGATGAAGTTAATCTACTTGATGTATGCAGGAAAGCCATCCCAAAATTAATCTTCTTGTGCATTGCTGGCTACTTCATCTGATTCTTCTCCTTCGATATTGATTTTTTTTAACCTTTCTATAAAATTGTTCCCGGCTTCTCTTTTACTATCAGAGTTCATTATAAATAAGAATGTCAAATAGGCTCTTCTTAAGTTCACTCTAAATGAACTTTCATGCCAGTTGTACATCTATGGGATCAATTACTTTTTCTTGATTTTCTTGGGGAAAAAAGGGAGATGATCCAAAATTTCGTCACAAGTTTTAAAACCTTTCGATCTACTTTTGAGTTTAGTGCAACATGAGAATTTATTGAATATCGGCACTTATATCAAAGCAAATCCAAGGGTTTAATAATGCATCATGAATAAATTTGGACAGGTATCTCATAACCCAAAATCTCTCCAGTTTTTTTCTACCTAATTTCTACTTGCTGCATCTTGATGTTTTGTCTGTATGTTCATATCCAGTGTACAGAGATCCATCCAAATTTTCTTAAGGTTCTGTACTAGCTGATTTTGTTCCTGTATGTAGTAGCAATGCACAGCTCTATTGAAATACCAAGTTGACAAAGCTGTTGTTTACCTCGAATGGTTGAAATACCTTGTTTCTTGTATTGATTGGGAGAAATAATTTAGGAGGAACTTGCTCTTTTAGCATCTATTAGTATGTTGACTCAGATGTTCTTGCCCCTACTATCTATTGCCCGGGAAAATAATGCATGCAAGCTCTTAGTTTTTTAATTTTGATGGATCTTACTGTTGATTTTTCGATGCTCCGCAACCTTTTGTTTGCTTTGTTTCAGCTTTTTCTGTAACTAGAACTACCATGTTTAGATCTTTGGTTAGAGATATTGCAAAGCACTGTATAGTAGGAGTATATGTTGATACGGATAAATTATTCTGTGCGGGAGCGGAACCCTGTCCAGATGCCTAAGCCTGCGTCTCGGTACTGCAGTACCGAGTGTCAGTACTGCCACCGACTAATGTGGCTCATTCTAATTGGTATTCAGACGTAGAGTTGCGTTCGGCGTCTGCCTAGAATAATCTCTCGTTTATATGCCACTAGTTTTTACTGCTTGTAAACACATCCAAACTTTATTTTATATTTGTTCGGAATTTGTTTTGAAATATATGCATAAAATCATCATAGTAATGATTTTTTTTTAATGTGACTTTTTTGTGTCTTCAGGAATGTTATTCATGGAAGTGATTCAGTTGAGAGTGCTAGGAAAGAGATTGCTTTGTGGTTCCCTGAAGGTCTGTCTAACTGGCAGAGCAACCTTCACCCCTGGATCTACGAGTAAGGCTGATGCTATCCATTCTGGCTTTGGGCTCCTGGAGCTTATATTTTGTTTACTAAATGGAGCTTTTGAGTTTTTGGGTCTTGTTGTGTTTGAAGCTTTTTTTTTTGTTGGCCTGTTTGGTTCGCACTTTCTATATCAAAGCTTTTAAAGCTGTGAGAGTATTATTTATGTATGAGTTTGATGTAATAACTTAAATATCATTTCTATTTAATATCGCTTTCCTTACATGTTTATGTTTAATTGCCTTGTAGATATATTTGATTGACTACTGAAAGCCTTAATATAAATCTATTTAGAGAGAGAGGACATGTAATTGTACAAAGCTGTGGCTTGAAAAGCTATGAAAGAGATTCCCTTTGTGGAATTTGCCTTGGTCAGTCTTGCTACGGTTAAAAGGAAAAATTATTAGGCGCGGAGTGTGCACCATCCGCACAAGCACTTGGTACCCAGCAATATCCAATAGTACTGAGTGCGGGTACTGCTAGGTATCCAATACTTGTGCGGACGGTTCTCCCTGTCCGCACTCCAAACCTAATAATCTCTCAATTCAAAGGCCTAAAAGGAGAAATAGATGCAAGTATTACTTCATTGAGAAAACCTTTAGGTCCCCATTAGCTGAGATTCTGCACCTAAAGTTTGGCAAGAAAACTGGTGATAAGTTGGACAGTGCAATTAAGGCTTCGTTTGATTTCCACCAGAATTTTATTCATTTTAAAACGAAAATATCGTAACGGAGAAGCGGAATTTTTTTACTTCTGAAATCGGTGTTATTTCAGAGTTATATGAAAAGGCCTTTTAAAAAAAATGACGCAAATAAATATTAAAATACTTATTTTTTCCCGATTGAAACCGCAAACAGAAAAATTTATGCGCTACCAAACGAAGTCTAAACCAGCTCACAGAGCTTTTTGGTTTCGTTTTAAAGAAATTATTAAACCTGATAAAGGAATTTTAGCTTTTTTTAAAAAAAAATTTTAGAAAGTAGGGGTAAAAATCCAAACAAACTCGATTTTGAAATGGATTTTTAATAAGAATTACACGTAAGACAAATCAATGTATATTTTTCTTATTATAACTTGTTAGAAAATTGTCGATAAAAACATTCATTTTTTTAATATTTATTATTATATATATACTGTGCGGTAAAATAATTTGTTAGCCCCTTTAAAAGAAGCTTAAGATTAAAGCTTCACTTTTAAATAAATTTAAATTCAAAATTAAAATAAGCTCTAATTTCTTCAATCAAAATTCTCATAAATAAAAGCGTATTTAATCTAACCGATTTATTGCTTTCCACATTTATTAAAAAATTATTCATTAGCAAAACAAAAACCAAAAACTCAATATAAAATTATGAATAAAAATAATTTGCAATTCCTTCAAACCAAATATACCATTTTAGGAAGCTTGACGAACTTCTTAAATATTATTAAAAACGTAACGTAAAGGACTTACAATTTCACTTCCACCAATGGGAAGTGGGAACCCTTTTCTTGTTGATTTTTTTTGTACACAAAAGGTTTCCTGGTTTACATCTTTTTTGAAATATTTCATACAAGGCTTCTTTGAGACTGTTTTCGTATTATTTTCTAAAACAATTTTTTTTTATAAAAAAAAAAATTATTTTGAGAACCTTGTAAAACACCGGATTATTTCATAATTATCTGAAGAATTAGAAAAAAATATATATTTTAACTGTAAACACGTTGCATTCAGCAAAAGATTTATCACAAGTATCATACACAATTATTATTATTACCAATTAAGATCTTAAATTGGTATCAGAATAACACCCACGGGCTAATCTCACCTATGATTAACCCAATCCATTTTATCCTAAGGGCAACTCCAATGGAACGGCGAACACTTGTTTGCCGTTCTTGCTTGTTCCAACCGACCGTCATTTTTGGCGCCATTTGATCGCGGATGAACAGTGCGACACCAATATTGGCGTTGCACTGTTCATCTGCGTCAAAAAATTGGTCTCTACCAAACTTGTGGAAGAAAGACGTCAAAGAAGAGCACAACGGTTGGAGATGCCCTAAGAGAGTTTTAATCAGAATAGTCTCAAAATTATTGAATCTGCTTTGAAACAAGTACAATATAAATTTATTTTATATTACCTATATCTTAAAGCAAATTCAACAGATTTTATATTCATCACGATTAAAATTTCTTGAGAATATTCTAGAATAAATTTTAGCCATTTGACATCTATAACTTGGAACAATAATCAAATTAAATAAGATGGAACATTGTGAAAACTCGCAAAATCAAATGAAGGCCAAACTCGCACACTAAATAAAAATGGAATAAAGCAACAGGCCAACTGACCTCTATTCAGAAAACCAATGACTGCAAAGCAGATGTCAGCAAAATTATTAAGCGTGGTTACCGACGTCGTCCGTTGGTCAATCAGGACACACCGCATCACCAATTTATGGAGTACTGTAACTGTGTGTACCATTGTGTATCGGATGTCATGATGCGGATTGGCCTCTTTGGACGCGCCGCATCACCAATTTATAGTGTACAGTGACTGTGTAACCACTGTATCAGATGACATGACGTGACCTGATTGACCTCCGGATGATCCAGTGACCACACGTGATAATTTTTCGATTTCGTAAGAGAAGACATATCATGCAAAAGCTGTATAAGCAAAGACAAGTGAAGCAGAATTAACTACCGAACGAGGAGCCTGAATGAAGGCATGTCATGCAAACGCTGTATATCTTCCCGCAAAAACTCACGCTCCAGCTGACGCCGTGTAGCTTTCAAAACCGCCTGCATCGGTGGTATAAAAGACTATAATTCTCGCAATAGATGATATGCTATGTTATATGGTTTCTCTTATGTGATGTCAACATATTGAACATGTTAGGTTAATTTATGCGGAGAGTGGAATAGAGATTCTCACATTGAAGTCCATGTAGGAAGCCTGCATGGTGAGCCATTGATGATCCATCATTTTAAAAGTAATGCAGTATAGTAAATCAAAGGCTCTCTTGTCTTCTGCAAAGAAATTAGAACTCATATTCAGAAACCTAAAAAAAAAAAATGGATGATCTACTTAAGTTCCTCATTTCAAACATCGATCAGGGAATTTTGGCATGCGAAAAAAAGGCAATAAATAGCATTGCAAGCAAGTTGTAAATCGACAACCGTCGGTTTACAAACATCAATTAGCAATATATGTTCATTCAACAAAAGTTGGATGATATCGGTCAACGAACGCTAATATAAATGAAGGGAGACAATATGCGTCGGAAAGCGGTCAACTTAATTGTTCTCCTTATAAGAAGTATTGAACATCGAATATCTTTAATTGGTGGACATTGAAAATTGGCGAATGTAGGAGATCAACATTGATTAATCTCAAATATTGGATGATCTTGCACGATGAAGCTTGGTACATATGAGAAGGCTAAGACGGTCTTTTAGTAAATCTATTAGAAAAAAAAGAGTAAAATTTTCTACGAGTCTAAGTACACTCAATTTCATAAAATATAAAAATAACAAAAATTGATGCTAATTTATGATTTCAAGGGGCTTATCCAATCCTTTATCCATAACTCTGTCCAAATACTCATTCTTATTAATAATGGAAACACAAAATTGTGACTAATCAGAAAATGACTAAAAACTTGTCCATAAGTGAGCCGTAACACAACTAAGACAGGTAGCCGATCACTAACGATGAAGTCCCCAGTCAGCAAACAAAAGATACTATTTCTAAGTTGTAAACATCATTAGTTCAATGGAGTTAAAGAGAAAAAAATATGATCGTCAAATTGTTAGAACAAAACTTGTAGCATAAGTTATATTTTATTGTCATGTAAAGATCATGGCAAATTGGGTTTAATTTTGATATGGATTTATTCATCTTGACAAGGGAGGCATGGAGAATGTTGTACGTTAGGATCAAATTTAGTGTTGGAGAAAAATGGTAATGAAACTCTATTTCTATAGTGAAATTATCTTTCCCGAGAGCAACCAATCGACTGACAATTTGGCCACTTGAAGAGGTTACAAAGCTTCTAGAAGTCTACATCTTCAAATATCTTGCTAGCGGTGCAAATCGGAGCACCTTATTGAAATCCAATAGCCCGAGACAATTGCTTGTAGCGAGAGCTTTCTATACATGGTCTCAACTGGCCTTCGCAGCTGCGGCAGAAGCGACACAGATAATAGCATTAGGCAGGTGGGGAATTGCATAGAAGAATAAGGAAGAAGGGCAAGATGTGGGGTTAGTGTTAAAATTTTTTTTTTTTTTCGAGGTCATTTGGACTTGGATTTGAATGATTTTGAGATTGTTGGATTCATCTCATCAAAACACATCATGATCATAAAATTGCTGAAATTGAACTACTTTTGAGCTCATTTTCAAAGCTTTTAATCAAAACCTTGGGTGATATTGGATCTAAAATTATGCATGCAAATTCATGTTGAATCAGGATGATTTTGTGAACCATGCCGAAACTTATTACTAAAATGCATGACCTCAAATCTACCTAAGGTCCTAAAATGCATATCAAGACTAGTTTTGCAACAAATCTAATTCAATTAGACATGTGAGGAAAACAGCCGCTCATGTTCTTTTTGCTGCGGATATCCGACGATGGACATTAATCAAAGGAAGAGACGAAGATCGACGGGATAGATCCCTCCATTTTATCTTAGTTTATTAATTGTATTTTTGATTTAATTATGAATTTTTCATTTTTACCCTTACTTAAGGGTCTTGTCTTATATAAGTACAAAGGGCAAAGTTGTCTTTTAATTTCTTTTAAGGCCTACATATAAAGGCCCTTGCTCTTGTCTAAGATAAATGATGGATTAATAAATAAATTATTTATACACTTTGTTCTTGAGAGCGATGAGCGTTCTTAAGAGAGTAGAAGTTCCTATGTGAGGGCAATGAAATACGCACCAGCCGCAGGATGTGTCCGGGCTCGTGGTTGAAGTCCTTGGTGAAGGGCAACGCAATACCCGTCAGTCTTTAGAAGAGTTCGAGACTCACGGTTTATTTTTCTTTCTCTAATCACTCACCTCCTTCTCCTTTAACCGCCGGCTAAATCTTCTCCTAGCCGCCGGCTTTCTACCTCCTATCCTCTTCCCCACCACCGGCCACCCACCCCCTTTCCTTTACAACCATCGGCCACCACCCTCCCCTTCTTCCAACCGCCGGTCTCCTCCCCATCTCCACCCTAATTAAAATCCCACCAAACCGTCACCTTCTCCACCAAGCTGCCACTTCCCTTAGCCCTCTCATCCTAATTTCCTTCTTTCCTATTTGGATTTGTTTTAATTTTGGAAAGCTTTTAAATTTAAATTCAAATGAATTTAAATTTCAAATCATTTCCTAAATTAGTTATCTTATTTTAGAAAAGTATTCCAATCAAACCTATTTCAATTCTAATAGAATTTGATTTAAATACTCATTCATAATTTAAGTTTCTTCACTTGGCAAGCTTTAAATCACCTAATTAAGAGGCTCATTAATGATCCCCTAATTAAGCCTCCAATCACACCAATTACTCCCACTTCTGGCAAAATTAATTTCAGCATTTTGAATTTGATTCCCACTTATTTTAAATTTAAAATTCTGAAATTGAATTTCCCTCCAAAAATCGCTGCCCAACCTAAACCCTACCCACTTCTCCTAGCCGCCTGCTTTAGCCCCACCCTTTTCCCTCCTAAATTTATTCTTTCCTACATTAAGTCGTTTTAATTTTGGTAAGTTTTTGAGTTCAAATTCGAAGGAATTTGAAATTTCAAATTCTTTCCTAAATTATTTAGTTTAGTTTTGGAAAGTTTTCCCTCAATCAAGGAATGATTAAATCTAAAATTGATTGGGAATCAATTCAAAATTCATACATTCATCGAACCTAGACATCTCTCTCCCCTTCTTTGGTCGGCCTCCATCTCTCTCTCCCTCCTAAATTAATTAATTCCCCAATTATACATCAACTTAGGAAAATTAACCCCCCCCTTTCGTTCTACATCACTTTTGCTAGCTGAATTCATGAAATTCCATATCAGCATCATGACTGAAGGCCAGAACATTGGTTTCCATTTACCATGCCAAAATAAGCTAATAGAAAAAGGAAAACTATAATCTAATAAATAATTTACGAACTAAAACAGAGTCAATGACCACAAACTGCATTACATACTACAAATCATTTCTCGAGACTCAAGCAGGAATCTATCGCAAATTAAAACCTACTTTTATATACCTGCGAGTATCTTTAAGAACAGCGCTCCCATCATTGTCCTTGGTTTTGCTGCAAGTTATAATTGTAATGGCATAAGTGATGCACATTGCATACAACAAAAACTTAATAAGATCATAAGCTTTAAATGGAGAAAATTCCTACAATACAAATTAATGAAAAATATTTTTGGCCTCTTAATAGTTAATCAAAAAGCTTGAGAAGATTTCCAAAAAAAAAAATTATCAAAACTTTCTCAGGAATTCCCAATTATTACGTAGGGAAAGTTTAACAATACAAACCAGCTTGGAGATCAAGCATTTGTATCAGCATGAATGTTATGTTCACACCAGCAACAGCAAAGGGATACTCCCACAAGGATCGGTTACCCACTCTCTTCCAGAGAAGATCTTGAAAGGATTTCTGAGTAAAAGAATACTTAATTAGTTCTCATAGATAAAGCCAAAGGTTTGAAAGATTGCACTTTTACATGCAAGACAATGGAGGCATATAGCAGGAAGTTATGTGGACAAAAGTGAAGGTCAACTAAGGCTATTAGTTGCAGACTTAGGAGCTCTCCAATTTGATTTAAAATAAGAGGCACATCATTCAAATTAATACTAGAGTTCTGTAACCGTTAGTCATCTCCAAGTTGGGGTCTAATAGAAACTTGGTAATATTTAAGATTTTAATTGCAAGAATTAAAATGAATCTCTCGGTATAGAATACTCTAAGAAACTTGTAATTTATTAATCCTATAGTAGGCAATAAAATCAAGCTGGCAGAACAGAAAAAGTAAAAAAGTAAAGAATGGAATAAAAAAGCCTTTTCTGATGGAAGCTAACAGACATGATAATTAATATTTAAGCACATTACAATAGAGTAGCTAACAATATAAGCTTCTTCTTCTGGTGGGAATACAACAAAGAGTTCGATATAATGTTCATAACCTACAAATATCAAGAAAAATAAATGTGACATACCTATTCATCAATTCATTTTCCAAAAAACACTTTATATTGATTACATTAAAAGGTAAACTGAAAAAAAAAGGTATAGCAAGCCAGTTGGCTATATTGAAGTTTCAACATAGAAAATGCATGTGCGAAAAAGTAAACAAAAACATTCAGAACTTTGCCTAGCAAAAACCAAGCAACCTATTCCAAAAAACATGGAAAATGGGCGCCTAAAAGCTTATTTGATGGAGATGTATAATTCTATACTTGCAGAAATGTCGAGCAATTTAATGATATAAACAATATTTTAGTTTAGTTCGATTTCATAGTTTTATTTAGTAGTTTTAGTTTCAGTCTACTTATAAAACACAGTGGTGATGATATGCCTATGAGAATGGAATTTACCGTCTTTATTTATGACGTTTTTGGTCTATGTAACCTCTTATCCAGTTCAATTTAAGTGGTTGACTTCATTGGTTTTGCTGTTGGATCCGTTGATGGATTCATAAAGAGCGTTTTGGTTTTGCAGGCTTTTGGTAGTGCTGTAGCCTTAAGCTCCTGTAGCGGGTTATTGGCAGTGTTGTCACCTTCCGCACCTATAGCTCAATGTAGTTCCTGTATAAGCCTTTTAATGGTGTATAGCCTTCAACTACTGTAACCCATGCAGATCCCTGCAGCAAGTATATTCTTGTACCAGTTATGATACATTGTGAGCAATGTCATCGATTTCGGTGTTACTTGGACTCGTCCTTTAATAGTTCTGAGTGTTTTAACAATCTAAGATCTATGTGCGAAGGATTTTAAATTGAAATGGCAACGGCACCCAACCCAAGGAAATTAGAAGGCCATAAAAATAAAATTTGACGCACATAATGGGAGCATTTCGTCTATGAAAAATCCAGATTTTGATTAATCAAAATCTATTCTGTTTGAGTTGAGTGTTGATTCATTTGAGCATGTTGCAAATGACTACCAATTTCTATAAAAGTCATATCTTTGTATCAATAGGACTAGATTCTCTCTTCATGATGAATTCTTTCCTTGGTTTCTTTTTTTTCTTATAATTTATAATCGGGTTTTACATGTGATTAAAAGGGGGTTTTAATGTGACTAATTTTAGTCAAATTCTTTTTTTTTTTTTTTTGAATCTTAATTGATATGTGGTTTTTATGATTATAATTTATCCTTGAATTTTTTTGGTTTAATCAATCATTAAATTAACATTTGGCACAAACTCTTCATATTTTCTTGATTGTATCAAAATTTAGCAGATACTTCTTAATTAATGGTCTTTCGAATTGCGAATTTTTGAATCTAGTTTCTGTGCTTTAATCTTATGTATAATTTAGTTGCATTAGGAATCATATAAATTAAGACGTCCTACATCATTTAGAAATCAACATTAACAACAAATCCAACTAATGGGAATACAAATATCAATTCAATCACTACTTAGAAGTGAACAGAAAAAGACAACACCAGTTCTTATAAGGCAATTAAACTTGAACATGGTCCTAACTCAACACCTGGGCTTTCTTATAACGTCAAAAGAAAAACAATTTTTGTCCGTCCTTTTATGATTTAATAATGGCAACTGCACCTCTCGAATTTTACATCTCAACCACTTGGAAATTATTTAAAGAAAAACAAGAATAGCCTATTAACTGACCTCAGGGCTGCTAAATTATAGACTGTTATATAGAAGCAATAACTTCAATCTATAAAATCATATAAGCTTTATTATCAATTTAATAAATTTCAAATGAGATATGTATGTGAGTGCACTAGGTATCTGAACAAATGATAGGTTAATGCTCAAGCATATCATTCTGTTCATGGCTGTTAAATCATAGACCCTTGATACAGGAAGCCATAACTTCCGTTATACTAAGTGCTTTGACCTACTATTTGAACTTCAGTTCATAAATCATGTAAGCATTATTATTTAGTTAATAGACTTTGAATGGCATATGTATGTGAACTCAGTATTTGAACAAATGATAGGTAAATGTTCAAGCAGATTATTTGCTACTTCACAGATCATTACATATACTATCCTGTATGACATAACCAGATAAAATGGGTAAAAATATCATCAATAAAAATGATCAGCCAACATAAGTTCACCCTAAGAAAAAGTGATGCATACCATGCAAAGAATGTGTTTCCAAACTAGTAAACCAATTCAAAAGTTTTGATAAGAATGTAACAATATTCACACGACCTTCTTTTAGGAAGAATATTGAAATGTTTCTAATCAGACGAAGAAAAAAAAAAGTACATTTTAAAACCTTATTCAGCTATTTCAAATAATAGCGCTTGAACTTACAGGGAAAGTTCTTGCAAAGAATAATAAATTCTCCAATGATATAAATCCTCCACCCCTGCAATCATGGGCATTGAATTTCATCAATATTGCCTACATATAAGCAACAAGTTGATTTAGAAGCAAGAAAGGTAAGAAGAGTTTCAATACCTAAAATCTGTAGATGGGTCTTTCCCTTGCCACCCCATCTCCTTCCATTGTTCAGATATCAAACCATGTAATTTAACATCAGGAAATGCTACATGCCATAGGGCTCTTAAGGCTTCCTACAATTTTCAAAAGTTTTAACGAAGGTTAAAAAAGCAAACCTTGAATTTCTGTTAAACATGGTCTATAAATATAGGGATCAAAATAATGCGGGTAAAGTACTGAAGTTGATTAGATTAATATAAGTACTCGATAAAAAGAACTTCACTAAAATAAATAAGTTGACATAATATGGCCAATTTCTTCCCTAGCCCTCGTTCTCATTGTTTTCCAAACATAAAACATGGAAATCAAATGTGTATCCTTCAATGATTTGATAGAAAAGACTTAGGTTTTGTTTAGATGCTAGGAATTTAAGTGAAAATAAACAAAAATAAATTGAAAATATCAATGGTTGTTGATTCATAATCAATCTGTAAATTATGAGCATCTCATATCATACAGAGCCTTTATGAGGAAGGAGTGAACCTAAGCAATACAACTATCATCATGATCCTTTGTTACATCCCAACTATGTGGGATTGACTCCAGGAATCCTTCACCAAATTCTTTTGCTGAGGGCTGCATATGCTAATAACTTCAGCTTATGCAAGAATTTTGCTCAAAGTTTCCAATCAAGTTCCTTTTCATCTTTCCCTTAACCGTCCTATACCTTCAACAGTCTTTTTTGCCCCCCTCGTTGATAATTCACTACTTTCCTTTGCACATGCACAACTATGTATAATTTTGATAACCACAACCTTGACTAACTGTCACCCTAACCACAACTCAAGCTCCAAAATTTAACAATCTATCATCCTAATTTTACAACACACTCATCTTACCTGACTCATTTATCGCACCACACCCTAGATTGTTACCAATTTTCATTTTGCCAAAAACTTGGATCCATACAAAACAACTAGCCCTTAATTCTATTTTATAAAACTAACTTTTAAACATTTTGATATTACATTATCACATTATATCATAAAGACACTTTTCTATTCTAAACATATAGTTGTGTTCCTACATTTTATATATTTTCCCATAGCCCTCTTCGTTAGTACAAAAAAAAAGGAGATAACCACACACATGTTTCACATGATCCTCCCAAATTATTACTTATACCACTATTAATTCCAAAATCATTGAGCCAGTACTCAACATATTGATATTTTATTCTACTAATCTTAAGCTGCTTATATTCTTAAAAGCACATCTATTTACTCAATATCCAAATTCTTATACGAAAAATTTGTAGCTTGAAAAGCCCATGATTAAAAGTTATTAAACTAAATATAGACAAGCTAAAACAAACATCAAATGAGGCCCATAATAAGAATCAATGAATAGAGAGTTCCAATAAGCCAAAACCAAAGTTATTAAGGTTGAGATTACAGTAATGTTGATGGTGTTACCAAGTACCATAAGAAAATACAAAAATGTTGCTTTAATCATTCAATATTAAAATATTAAATTCATAGACAGAAGATTATGTAAATAGAGACAAAGTTCGGTGAATATTAAAGTATGGCATTATGACCAATGCTAATAAATTAAAGACCGCTTTAATTTAGTCATATAATTATGTTGTCCCTAGTAGATGGATGTAAGTCTCTAGCCAAATCACACTTGCGTGGGCAATATATACAAACCCGTTACACTATTTTTGGAAATTGATATGCTTGAAAATGGCTGGTAGTGAAATTTGGAACAAAAATTATCATAGTTTTATAGAAACTCTCGATTGATCCTAACACTAATAACAGTAGTCCATATCGAGGTCTGATGAAAATGCATGGTAAAAATCAATCAAAGCAAATTCATATCGAAGTAAAAATCTGATGCTTGGTCCCATGCTATATGATATATGATAGATAAGATCCTCCATAAGCATACTATAAGACTATCATCAAGATGGAACAGGAATTATGAATTTCTATGGGATTTGACAAACAGGAGCAAACCCCATATAGAAATTAAAGTGAACCACATTTTATATACCAGAAGGGATGCCCAATTATTGGGGCGTGGTGAAAGATCCTATTCTGAGAAAGTTAAGCTCTCAAAGCTAAATTTAAAACGACTGCTTCTTAGTTTGGTGGTATAAATTTAAGAATATTTTTTTCCTACATGAAATATTAAAACAATTGTTGGGTAGAACTATTCACCTTTTTATAGAGAAGAAAAAGAACATCTTCAATACTAACTAAAATATACTTACAAGCACATTGCCTCATGCTAGAGATGACACACTGATACGAAAAAGAAGAAGAAGAAGTGTCCATAAAATTGATAACATAGCATTTGTATTATCAACAATACCAAGTTTCAGGATGAGTAGCTTAATTTTTGTCTGATACCTGGTGCTCTAGCTTTGAACAATCATAAGTAACATCTATACGATTTTGTAACCTTCGCAGACATTCTCCCTGAATCATAAATATAGCAAACATCAAAATTAGTCATTCTCCATATTCAGGGCAGTAAAAACACTCCACAGCACATATTGCAGACCATAAATTCATTAACATGTTAAAAAAAAGAATGCTATAAAAAGAAAAAAAATATAATAACTAATTGATCTGGCTAACAGGTTGTTCCTATTCATCACATAGATCAAATGTAAGAACCGGCCGTACCTAAACTAAACACGGATGAAACAAGTGAATCGAGCGGATAGGTCAAGCAAGCCACACACGGGCACGGGAGGATCTGGGAAAATTGGATTGTGCGATCGACCGAGGAAATGCATACGAGAGTGAAAAACAACGACTCCTCACGTAAGATAACTTAGTTTTGCTTCGTCCAGTTAAGCCAATTGAACGAAAGGAATAAACAGAAACCAACTGAGAGGAAAATGAAGGAGAATGAAGGTAGGTTTTTCAATCTTGTTCATTTTATGTGCAATTCTTTTGTGATTTAATCCTAAGAAAGAATCAATTGACTTAACTGAAGGCAGGGGAAGTAATTGAGAGATAAAGAGAAGGAAATTTGGAAAGAAGAAAATTTTAGAAAGGACGAAATAGCGAGTTTCTATTACTGACAACAAAGAAAAGAGTAAGTGATTTAAATTATTATTTTACATTCAAAATTATATAATATGTATAATTCATTTCTCTAATTGAAGAAATAATATGTGATTGTCAAATAGGAAGAAGAAATCTAGTGGTGAGAGTCTCGATTCAAAGAGGAAAAAAAGAAGGTTTATCGATGTAATTAATTTTGATAAATTTAGAGGGTTGCAGTAGATTATGAATTGTAATCAAGATATGTTAAATTAAAATAAATCAATATTATATAGATGATGTCGACACATTTGAGGCTGAGTATTTAGCCGACTTTGTGATGAGGACATCCGACCTTGAAGGGTCTACATGGCCGCTTCTTTTCTTCCACTATTTTTGGGCTATTTTATTGGATTCCGAATTTTGCAACCAAGTTCCATCAAGGACATCCAACCTTGAAGGGTCTACATGGCCGTCGATCTACGTCCACGATTACGCCACTTTACTTTTGATTAACATTATATTAGATTTATTATTGATGTATTAGTTTATGAATTTTATTGTACTTTTCCTTTTATGCCCCCACTTGAGGGCCCAGTCATGTGTATGCCCTAGGGGCAAGTTGGTCTTTGTATTTTTTATCATTGTATTGGATATTTAAAGCCTCCTCCTCTGTCTTTGAGGGTTAATGAATGATATTATGAAATTTCTATACTTATGTGTTTTGAGAGATCTTGAGAGTTCTTGAAGAGATTGAAGTCCCTAGGGGCTTCCCCCCAACACACACACACACAAGCTTTGTCGGCCACCTTTCCCCTCCTTCTCCTTGGGATCGTTGAGAAATCCTCTTTCTTACAAGGTGATTAGTCAAGGACAGCAAGGATCTTTCCTCCACCACATCAAGGCTTCCTTTTTCCTCATGAATGGAGGTCCTGAACAAGACCACGAATTTTAACTTCTAGTTGTATGGCTTGGCCTAAGCTCGTTTTACCCCTCTCATTTTCGTTGATTATCTAAAATCACTACAAGTTTAATACTTAATATTGCTATCATCTAAAAGCGGGCAATTTCGTATTTAATATTGCTTAAGCATTTTAGTCATACATCACTTTGACTTGACCCTAGAGTAGAAGCAGTTGATTATGTCTTCCTTGGTCTACCAATATTTCTCTGAGATGATCCAACATTCATCCTTGATTCTCTTGATGATCTTTACCCCAGCGTAGGGCAGCTCTTGATAATATGTTTAGGTTGATAACACCGGAAGCAAATATTTGTCCCATAAATACATTCTCCCTTGTATTGTTTTTCACACTTGTTGCAGTTATTCATGCTCGTCTACCTACCACTGGTGTTGGGTTTTTCCTTGTTCCAATTAGACCTTTCAGATTGAGAAAATGATCTAGCATGAGAATCCTGGGAAAATCCTGTAACATTTACATTCTTCCTTTTCTAAAAATCGCGCCTACTTTGGGCATTTTGGATATCAATTCAAATCATTCTAGCTCCCTTCACTAATACAAAATAATCTTCAATCCCTAGAAGAACAAGAGGTTGTTTGATAGTATCTTTCCACCAAGATAAAAATTGATGACATTTTTTTCTACAGTATGAACTAATTGAGGGGCATATCTGGATAAAGTAGTTACTTATGCTTCATACTGCATAACTGATATGTCTCCTTGCACCAGTCTAAGAAATTTATCCAGCATTTGCCTCCATGCAGAAAGAGACACAAACCAATATCCGAGCACCTGAGTAAACTCATCGCATTTAATATGGATGTTGTATATCCCTCTAAATTTATCCTGGTGCTGACCTCTTCACCACCTTTCAGCCTTGTCATCAAGTACAAATATTGTAGAAGATCCAAAGATGGTGCAGGATAGGCAACAAAAATATTATGATGCAAAGCACGGCCAGTTGAATTTATAGTTGGTGAATTTGTTTTTATTAAAGTCAATCCAATGAGAGGATTGCAGCACTTTAAAAAGACAAGAAAATTGAGTTCATGGTTTGTTAGTGATGAGGGCATCAGTAAAAGATTTTGACACATGTACCATCAGAGACACCGGAGATTAACAACTACGATCAGGAGCTTATATTTTTGAGTCATTTTATGTAGTAGTTTATTTTATTTTCATTCTTTAATGTTTTACCCTTATGGTGGTCATTTGATGTTGTAGCCCCGAGGGCATTTTAGTCTTTGTTTCTTTTCTTTTTGGTGAGACCTATATATAGGTCAATTCTATTGTGTTTGGGATGATGATAATTGACATGAAAAAAATTTCAGCTTTTGCTCATGATCTCTTTGCGAGTTCTAGAGGAGAGGAGTAGCCTAGGAGAGGCTCACACAGACTACCCAACATCCCCTTTCGTGGGAGCTCTTGGTTCTTTTTATTTTCTTTCTTTTCTTCCCGTTTCTCCTAGCCGCCGGCAACCCCAAATCCACCTCCTTACCACCGACCAGCAACCCCCATGCCTCCTTCCCTTAGCCGCCGGATCCGCCCTCCATCACCCGCCCGGCCCAAATCCCCCACCCCCTTTCCACCGAAGCCAACACCAAGCCGCCGGCCCCCATTGAGTCCCACCCGTCGACCAACCCAAGGCCAAGCCTTGGAATTTGAATTTTCAAATTCAAGTAGGCTTTCATTGCTTTCCTAATTTGTCCCCTTATTATTTAGGAAGTTTCCTAATTTAAATTCAATTTTAAAATTTGAATTTCAAATCCCTCCCTAAATGATAAACCCAATTAGGAAACTATTCAACTCTAATCAAATATAAATTTAATTCAGAATTTGATTTAATTACTTATTCAATCACCCGGGCCCCACTTACATTGAACCTAGACACAAATTTAAACCCCCATAGGGCCGGCCCCCTCTCTCTCTCTCCACTTTGCTACCTAGGCAACATTTAATCCCTCCCTAAATTCCCTAGTAATAGCCGGCTCCATGAACCCTCAATTGGGTTGATTTAAATTTCAAATTGGCTCTCCCTCTCTAATGAAAATATAAAATTTAGACTTCAGATTTTCCCTCTCACCTTCTCCCCCAAACCACTTGGCTTAACCCAAAAGAAATCCTAACCCTAGCCGCCCTTCACCCTCCCCAAGTCATCTCCCATCATCCTCTCCCTTCCTCCTCACAAATCTCAAGCTTGCTCTTCTCCAACCGCCACCACCGTTATGCATGGCCGATCCGGAAGCCGACCATGACTTCTTATATGACGATCAAGGACGAACAAACGTTCTCAAATCTCATTTCTTCGACGTGAATCTAGACATGAATGCTTCCGTAGAAGATTATTTAAATCACATCCTTTTCACGTTGGTACCCTCCATCAAAGAGCACATTCCTACCGGGCGTTGGATACTCACCAGTCAACTCATGGATTCCCCGTCGCCGGCCACCTCTCCAACGAACTACACCTTGGGCGTCATCTGTCTTCTAGTGGCATTGCTAAGCTTGTTCTCAATCTTCCTCCACTAAAGTACTTCCACCACGAGTGTGAGTGAGGGACCCAATGTGAGCAAATCTATTTGTTAAACCATGGATTAGTGTTTCTTGTCATAACATTACTTTCTCTATTTTATGTTGATAACTTGTAAGCATCCTGTTAATCTAGTTGTAACCGCGTGCCTACATAATCTTTACTTGATAATTATAAAAGCCTAATTTGGGAGAACAAGAAGTCTATAACTAGTGAAGCTTTCATTACCAAATATTAACATCCCTAAGCAGTTCTTCTTTACTTGCATGGTTTCACATCAGTTAGACATTTTGAAATCATTGAAAGGATTGAGAATATACCTTACAGATTAGATATGTCAGTGCATATGCAAGGAAATCACAATGTTTTTCATATATATGTGCTTCAAAAATATATATCAGATGAGTCGTAAAGAATCCTGCCAAAATCAATTGAGTTGCAACCTATTTTGAAATATGTTGAAGAGCCCAAAAGATTATTGAAATATGATGTGAAACAACTAAAGAATCAGGAGATACCATTTGTAAGGATTTTATGGAAGAATGTAACTAAAAGAGATGTCACTTGGGAGAAAGAATAAGATCAGAGAGCTCAATATCCTCATTTATTTAATTAAGGTATGTTTATTTCATTTAAATTTCAAAGACAAATTTTTTATAAGAACCGGGGATTGTAAGAACTGGTTTGATTGGTTCACTTGAATTGGCCCTACCTAAGCTAAACATGAACGAAACAATCGAACCGAGCGGGCAAGTCGAGCGGACCGCACTCGAGCACGGGAGGATCTAGGTGAATCAGATTGTGCAATCGAGCAAGGAAACGTGTACAGGAGTGAAAAGCAGCGACTCCTCATGCAAGATAACTTTGTTTCACTTCCTCCAATTAGGCAAATTGAACGAAAGGAGCGAACAGAGACCGACTGAGAGGAAGAAGGAGAATGAAGATAGGTTTTTTAATCTTGTTCAATTTGTGTGGAATTCTTTTGTGATTTAACCCTGAAAAAGGATCAATTGTCTTAAGTGAAGGGAGAGGAAGGAATTGGGAGAGAAAGAGAAGGAAATTGGGAAAGAAAAAATTTTGGAAAGGACGAAACAACTTTCATTTCTAATGATGGAGAAGAAAGTGATTTAAATTATTATTATACATTCAAACTTATATAAGAAAATCTATATAATTCATTTCTCAAATTGAAGAAATTATTGTGTGGAATATAATTATGCTGATTAATTTGATTGTTCTGTTGGCTCGAACCTCAAGTTTCTTGTGCTCGCTTAAGGGCTGCGGGGGGTTTATCCCCTCCTTGGATTCGGGTGCTTTGAATCTGAAAAAGTTTTTTTTTTTGGTACAATGCCGCGACGTTGTGTACCCGAGCAACCAAGCGTTGAACGACAGAGAGCAAAGCGCCGCAACGATATAGATACGACGTTGTAGCGGTGCAAGACAAAGACTTGAGCGCCGCACCATGTCAAACTGTCGCTGCAGTGTGCGAGATTGACTGGACAGTTTTCTTTCTCATTTTACTGAAGGGTTGCGTCCCTTTGAGTTATTTTACTTGGCTTTCTCTTATATTTTCAGTTAGGGCAAATGTGAAAATGATGCATATGAAAGGAGAAGGAAGGAGATAGTGACAGAGATCTGTACTTATTTCTCCAAATTTTCATAATGGATTTCTTGGTGTGGTATGGTTCTGTGATTTTTCCCCCTATTTTGAGTTTTTCCCCCATTAAATCTTGGTATCCTTTACTTTTTCGTTGCTTTTACTTTCTTCCTTGTTTCGTTATTGTGGTGTTTACTCCTCATCATCCCCAACAGAAATAATATGTGAGACTGTCAAATAGGAAGAGGAAATCTAGTGGTGAGAGTCTCAATTCAAAGAGGAGAAAAAAGAAGGCTTATCGAGGTAATTAATTTTGATAAATTTAGAGGGTTGTAGTAGATTATAAATTGTAATTAAGATATGTTAAATTCGAAGAAATCAATATTATATAGATGATGTCGACGCATTTAAAAATGTTTTTAAATGATATCAAATTAATGCAATATCATCTTGACGACATTTAATTTTAGACATTGATTAGTAATAATTGATGTAAGTGGAATATTATTGGCAGTGAGCAGTGAAGGAATCAAATAATTGAGCTGAGATAAGTATAAAAAATTTATTTCAAAGATCGAGGGTTGGAAGGATCTTAACACAAAAGAAGTCGAAGTGGAAAATTACAATAGTTTTATAGCAATTATAATTTTCTTTTCTTTTATTGCAATAATTGCATGTTATAGCACTATGTTGACTAAATGGTTAGTGTATAAATAAATCAATTGAGAATAATAATTAAACTTCTATCCATCTTAATTAAGTTTATCATTTGTCCGTCCTAATCTTTCAACACTAAATTCACATGTCCAATGAATAAATGAATTTTCTAGCCTTTGTGATGAATGTCCAAATCATCTAAGTCTATTTCTCACTATCGTATCTTCAATACACTATACCTTATGGAAAACAAAATTAGGTTTTGATCAACTGCTTGGGAACATCCCTTATTAATAGTCCAATTATCAAAGCATACAAGCATATTTTATACACATATGATTAGCATATTCAGGTAAGTGACTCCCACATAATTTGAAAGTTGCATGTAAAAAGGGATCATTTTCTTACATAATCCAACCACGTCTAACACTTCGGTAAACCTAGTCATGCCCAACTATTACAAGCATATGGAAGAATGTTCTAATATTTTTCTAACATTTTTTGTGGCTTGTCCTATCAAAAGATGTGCACAGTAGTACCTGCAAGGGGGTAAGTTCAACCAATATTCGAGCATCCGTTTCTCTTCTCTGGGCGCAAACACAGGAAAGTCCCTTTCCAATCCATGCACTTGACCCTGTGACAAAGTACGCTATAGCATTTAATAAACTGGTAATGAATCAATGTTTACAATTCTCTGTATGAAGTACATGCCAACAATATAATCCAGAAACAGATAAATTAACTTCAGGGTGCTTAATTCAGAGAAAATCTTCCAACTTTCTGAGGGAATAGATGGTTAATATATGACGCACTCACTAGTAAGACACATATAAGCCAGTTATTGAAGAGTAATTTTGAAAGCATAAAATAGCAGTCTTACAAATTGAGTGCAATGTCAAGCAGGCATATGATAAACACCGTTTGCAAAAGACAATATCAAGGAAGCAAAGAAATCATTCTCACTACGAAGGAAATTTCCACAACAAATGTAAAACAAGAGAAAAGCGGACAAATTCTATAAAACTGATTCTCAGAGAATGTTCTTGCTTTTGAAAACAATAGATGATAAGCATAACAGCTTCTAGAAGCATGTTATGCGAATATAATCAGTACAGCATCGAATAGTTGTCATCTAATGGAGTGAAAAATTAAGCAAGCATATAACCATTCCTACATAAGAAGATACAAAAAAAATTAAACACCTGATAAATAAAGGTATACAAATAAGTTTGACATATCCAATTTCTGTTCGAATCTAGGTTTAATTGAAGTAACCTGAAAATATAAGTATTTGGATAAATCCTCACATATTTAGTGGAAGTTCAAAGTCATTGTAATTCAGGAATCTATCGAACTGAGATATATCATGGACTCGAATTTGTCCCAATTATACTTTATCAGCCCACCTTCACATGAAACCTGTACAGTTTAAATGTTTCTATCTCCTATGCTTACATGAAACTTTACTCCATCACACACACACACACACACACAAAACAAATAAATTATTCTATTCATCCCAAATGCGTCAAAGCCATCGTTCAATATGACAACTAAACCACGGGCATTGATTTACAATCTTCTATATAATAAGCCATACTTAAAAAGTAGGAAGGTAAGAACCATCCGTAATGAAAGATCTCAAAATGTTTGGGGATGCAAGGTGCGTTGTTGTGGATGGACAAGGTGTACATTAGGGCATTAAATTTCATAATTAGATTCCATAAAATAAATTATGAAAATAAACATACTATCTGCCCTTGTGCATTTATAGGATGTTATAGATTTCATAGGATAATTAATATTTTTCATCAGATTGTTTGTTCGTTCCTCAATAGTCAGAGGTTTTGGGGCATACGGTGGCATCCATTGACTATAGCAACCAATATCCGTCATTTACCACACTAATGTCAGTTGTTGCTCACACCAATGTTGGCCATTGCCAACACCATTGTTGTTGTTCACACCAATGTTGGCCATTGTCCGTAACATTGTTGTCGTCGCACAATATCAATGCCCGCCGGTCATCACCTGAAGCCATTCGATTAAAGACATTTGACAACATTCTCAAAATCATCCAGTCTCCCCTCTTATAAGGACTGAGCCAGCGCATTGCCGTCACTCAATATTCCCAATTAATAATCATTCGACGCCTGCCAAAAACTTGTTTATGTTAGCCACTAACATTATTAGCTCACCTTCCTAGTCACTTATTTCCCCTCCTATAAAGAGCACCACCTAATATTTGACATTCTCAAATGAACATCGTCTGAAATTTGTCAGCCATGGAAGTTTGATGCCCACCCTCCTAATCATCACTCTACTCCTCAATAAAGAGAACGATTGAGCAGACAATGACCACTGCTAGATGTCTAAAGTTCACAATTTATCATTGTTCAGTGTCTGTTAGTTGCTAATGTTTAACACATCAGCTTCTTGGTCATCAGTCTCCCCTAATAAAGCATGAATGATTGAACAAACCATCAAATATCACGTCACGTCCAATGTTAGATGATTGTCAACCACCAACATTAAGCAATCTCCTCTCTTATAAGGTAAACAATTAAGCAAAACCATCCATTGTCGCTGGACATCTAGTATTCTCATTCAAACATCATCAAACACTTGCTAATGTTAAATGCCTATCATCCACCGACATTTGATGCTAGCCCTCTTGATCGAAAGTCTCCCCTTATATATGGAGAACAACCAAGCAGATATTCGATCTTCATCACCTGTATTCCAAGTTGATTGTCATCCAATATCTGCCAATCTTGATGTTTATCACCAGCTGATGTTTGACACTAGCATTCATAATCATCAATCTCCGCCATACAAGGAGAATGGCTAAGTACACTTGTGATTGTCTCTCGATGTATGGAGTTCCTACTAGGTCGTCATAAGATGCATGGCAAGTATGATATATGTAAGCCATTCAGTCTAAAACCTGACTTCTTAGTCATCAAACTCCCCTCCAACAAGAATAAAGATCAATTAGACCATCGACCATCACCTGTCATCAAACACATGGTGATCTCCGATGTTTGTAAGTCGCACAAGTATAACACATGATTTCTTGACCGTCAAACTTCCCTCCTACAAGAATAATGATCAAGTAAACCATTGAACATTACCTACACCCGAAGTTCCCAATCAACCATAGTCTGAAGCCTGCCAAGATTTGATGTTTTTCAACCAGTGTCCTTTTGATTTTCAATCTCTCCAATAAAAAGGAGAGTGATTGACAGAATTACTAAAGGGACAACTAAGGATTAATGAATTTTCTCAGCCAACCATCATCCAAGATTTGCCAATATCTGGCATATATTAGCTGCTGACATCCAATGCCCATATTCTTGGCCATAAATCTGCCCCTATAAGAACTATTGAGTAGACCATCGACCATCTCCACATTTAATAATCCCTATTAACATTTATAATGCTCACCAATGTTCGACTTCAATCAACCACTAACATTCGATGCTTGCCTTCATGGTCTCCAACATCCCCTCCCAAAAATAGAGCAATCAAGCAAACTACTAACCACCTCCTGACATCCGACATTCCCATTTCACTATTGTCCGATGCCTGCCAATGTTTGATGTTGTCAACTACTGACAACCCATGCTAATTGTACCAAAAAATTCCATACATCTCAAAAAAATCAATCAAAACCCTATACATGGTAGGCATCTGTGCTCCACATGTCACAATTAAATAGTCCTACTCTCCAACTAACCTCAGGAGCATCCTTGGGGAACCCCTCAAGAGCATCCTCGATCATGTTCCTAAGGGAGATCTTCGAAAATATCTTCGCCCCAGGATCTAAGGGTCTCCACAAATACTCTCTTAGCCTTTTCCTTAGCCATGCTCTCAAAAAACCTTCGAAACAATCACTCAAATTGACCTTTTGGAAAAGCAATGTTTAAGGTTGAATTGGTGCATACAATATCTCGATATCAACTTGTAGGCCGAATTGTACTCTTTCATATCAACTTACTCATCGATGTCGCTTGCATTGACCAATGAAATCGAAGTACAATCCCTGTGTCATGGTATTTTCATCAGTGTTGGGGTCTTGATCCCCACTATCATTTCCTCGTCAGCATTGTTGTCCCCAAGATCTTTCTTCTAATAGTTATGACAACCTACTAAGCATAGAGACTTACATCCCATGATAACATGTTCTAATATAATGATCATGTAATTGATTATTTGCTCCACTAACAGTGCCACCTAGCAGGCATGCTTGCAGAACAACAAACTCACATCCAAATTCTTGTAAGGAAAGGTGTGAAGAGGGCAGAAGATTGGAAAACTTGACAAATTAGCTCATAGATAGATTACGCAAATAATGTTGATCATCATCGCCTTGATCCAAGCTAAGCTTGATAACTTCACTTCTCACTCAATCTTTTGAAAAATCTCTTTGTAGCTTGTTTATAGGAGTATTCTCCTCTCTTCTTCTAAAGGGATTCATTCTAATTTCTTCTTTTATTTTCTTTTGTGTGGCTTTTTCTACAAGGCTTCACTCTCTATAATCTACTCAAAGGCTAAATAAATCATCTCAATCGATCGTATAGTGGCTATGATGCACAGATAGATACGATGATAGGGATATGACAAGGACAGGAGAAAAGTCAATTATTGAAAATATAAGACACGGATACAGATTGGAGAGGGTATTATATTTTTTATATTTTACAAATACAACAATAATATTAAGCTTTTATCCCACTATGTGGGGTCGGCTACATGAATCTTTTTTTCTCCATTGTGATCCGTTAATAGTCAAATTCTTATTTAAATCAAATAAAGAAAGATCATTTCTAATATTTCATAATCAAGTCTTTTTAAGTCTACCTTTACCTTTCTTAAAATAAGTCAAATCTAATATATCTACTTTCCAAATCGGATCATTGAAAGGTTGTCGTTTTATGAGACCAAACCATCTAAGGCGACTCTCTCTTATCTTATCTTCCACTAGAGCTACTCTAACATTTTCACGTATATGCTCATTTCATTTCTTGTCTCTAAGAGTAAACCCACTCATCCACCCAAACATCCTCATCTCTGCAACACTTAACTTATCTTACAAATAGTTTATAAAAATTGAAAAAGTATCATATTAAAAATAATTTAGAAATAATGTCATTTAACTAGAATTTATGCTTAAAATGATTAATATTGGGATGTTGAGAGCCAGACGTTGATGTCGCATATTAGGCGTCAATTGAGAAGACGATAATGCAGTCGAGAGTCGGGCATCGATGTTATGCAGTGAGTATCGGGTATCAATGTCAAGTTGGCGTCTGTCGTCGATGTTGAGAGGATATTGGTCGTCGATGTTGAGAGTACGTTGGTCATCGATGTTAAAAAGACGTCGGGCAAAGATGAGCTGTCAAGTTGTGCGTGTAGAAATTGCTAGCGTCAAGCATCAATGTCAAGACAGTGTCAGACTTTGATGTTGAGATAATTTTGAAATATTGATGTAGTAATGACAATAGACGTTAATGTTGAGAATTGAGATAACATCGAACATTATTGTGAAACCAAAGTCGTGACCCGCCAAAGAGAAATGAAAATGAGAATATTGGATAAACGAGTTATTGAGTGCGGGCAATTGATTTGATGTTATGGATAGGAAATAAAAAAAAAATAAGTTTTTATATTTTAAATACAAGAAATTATATTTTAAAAAAAATCATAAAATATTTAAGACACACGTGTCGGACATGTGTGCCCAATTTGTATTCAATATTTTAAATGGGATTTTTACATACATAACACTTGAAACTATTATAATTACATATCAAACACTTAACTTTTGTATTTACTAATATACCACCTAAAATCACATTTTTCTTCTATTCTAGCACTCTGTTACTATCCCCGTCAAAATCTCTATTGGCCTGCCGCCTCCTCCCTGATTGACCTTCCGCCGCTGTTCTCCGACCAAGTTCTCGAGAACTAGGCGTGGAGCTTGTTGAAAAGGGAGGTGGTAAACTACAGAGGTCGCTCGGTTGGGACGGTAGCTGCAAACGAACCCACGGAAGTGGCGCTCAATTACGATCAGGTTTTCATTCGTGATTTTGTTATGTCTATGATTGGCTTCCTTTCAAGGGATATTCTGAGATTGTTCAGAATTTCATTCTTCACACGCTGCAGCTTCAGGTGAATTTCCCATCTACTTTTTAGATTTTTTCTTTGTTAAATTGGTGATATGTTATAGCCTCTTGAAATTTGTTGGACTTGAATGCCAGCGAAACACCAAGCATTACTTAAACTTCCATATGTTTGAATCTTTAATCTGCTCAATATGGTTGTTGATGGCAGGGGTGATGATCTTAATTGTGGTCTGATGATCTTCTAATCTGAAATCTAAAAGAAACTAGCCAATTGCTACCTCTTCCATTGGCAGAAAACATAGCATAGCCACAATACCCAAATTTGTTCTTTTTATTCCATTGGAAAAGCAAGACGGGAGAGAGAAATGGAGGAAATGGAAAAATATCCTGGATGGCGCAGTGGTCGCGGTGATATGCGAGACAAAGAGGGCAGAGAGCGCCGTTCATACAGTCAAGGAAATACATGTCGCACTCGTTCTTGTGAGCGTCGGCGTGGAGCTTGCATTGAACGAAGAAGCTCGTTGAGAGAAGAGGCCATAGCCATGGCGGCCATCAGCTATCGTTCTCTCCTCCTCCTCCCTGAAGGCGGTTCGAAGGAAGACACAAGGTTGATAGGGATTTTTAACAGGGGTAATAACAAAGTGTTAGAATAGATGAAAAGGAGGGTTTTAAGTGGTATATAAGTAAATACAAAAGTTTAGGTGTTGGATATGTATTTACAACAGTTTCAAGTGTTATGTATGTAAAAATCCCTTTTTTAATTGGATATGTTTTGGACATGTCCGACACGTGTCAGAGGCTAATCGTGTCGGACACTGCGCACCTCTTTGAGAAGAAGTGCATCATAGTATAATAGACATATGTCACTTGACTAAACCACTCTAAAAATTAATAATGTCCACCCTTTATCACAATTTTTCATCAAGTATTGTTTAAGAATTGTGTGCTTTCATTATCACTCCACAAACATTGGGAAAAATGACATCATTTTTAATAATCTACTCACGCTAATAAAATTATATTAGTTCAGCCAAGCCCTATGAGTTTTTTACTTTTTAAAAAAAAAAATCATTTTCAAAATATTTTCTCTTATGAGCAACTCTCAACTTATTTATGCACATAGAGGACTATAGTTTACGTCCCCCCCCCTCCCCCATCAAAAAAAACACTGCTTATTTATCCTAATTTGTTTGGTTCAACTCACGTTTATACTCCTCCCTCGCAACCTCGACCACAAATGCAGACGCGCTCGTCTCTTCCACATGCAAAGACGAACGTGTGACTCCTCTCGGCTCGCTACTTCCACGTGCACAGACGGACGCGCGACTTCTCTTGGCTCGTCCTCTTCTGTCTCTCCTCTTCTGCATGCACAGACTGAAGGTCTCGCTCCTCTTTCTCGGCTTGCTTTCAGACGAAACTACCTCTATCTCTCTCGACATGATTTCAATCTTCAGATAAAACTTCTAGGTAAATGGTAATTATTATTATTTTTTTATTTTGGTTGCTTATCAGTCAACCTAAGAAATATTTTTTTGTCTTTTAAGTTCTAAGGAATTTTCTTATCATATGTTACTTGCAAAGTTGCAATGTGATAATATAAGATGACTGTGAAAATTTTTTAATTGTTTTTCAATTTATTATGCTATTTGACATTGCATTTCCTATTTACCTTTCTTCAGTCTTTTTATGATAGGAGAGAAATTATTTGAAATTCATTGTATACGAAATAGTTTATTGAATGAATGTTTTGCATTAATGTTTTAAATTTATAGATTTTAGCGTCTATAAGATGTCATGTCTTTGGTATTATATAAGATGAAACTACAAGATATGAGAGACAATAAGTGGGCAGACTTCATCAGTAAAATAACTTCATTATGTAAGAAGCAGATAATAAATGTTGCACCTATGGATGATAAATGGGTTGCTCGCAATCGGCCTCATCATAAAACTCAAGATATAACAAATTCATATCATTTTCAGGTTGAAATTTTCTACACAGTTATTGATATACATCTTCAAGAGTTGAACAGTCATTTCACAGAAGCAAAATCCTAACAATGGATTTAATGCATCTGATAAAGCAATTGATTAGAATGATACAGTTTTATCCAATTGATTTTACTCTTTTTTTATCAGATAATTCTTGAAAATCAGTTAGACACTTACATTATAGATATGTGTTATGATGATCAGTTCTTTTCATTAAAAGAATAGGAAGTCTTACTCAGAAAATGATCCAAAATAGAAAGTATATAATAGGGGTGTCAATTTTTACCCGACCCGAAATCCGACCCAAACCCGACCCCAAAAAAATTCGGGTTCGGATCGACCCGTTTGTGAAACGGTTCGGGTTCAATAAACCGACCAGTTTCAAAAATCGGGTCAGGTATTGGTTGACCCGGGAACCCGAAAATGACCCGGAAATGAATATTATAAAAAATCAGCTGCAAAATAGAATTGGAGATCCATGGATGAATAATTTATTAATAGCTTGTATTGAGAAACAAATTTTAAATTATATTGACAATGAATTAATCGCTCAACTATTTTAGAATATGAAAAATAGATGTTATAAATTGTAAGTTGTTTATTATTTTATATTAAATATTATACCTTTCTAGATAATAATTACAACAACAACAACATCAAGTCTTTATCCCACTACGTGGGGTCGGCTACATGAATCCTTTTTCTCCATTGTGTCCTATTAAAAGTCAAATTCTCGTTTAAATCTAATAAAGAAAGGTCATTCCTAATATTTTCTAACCAAGTCTCTTTAGGTCTACCTCTACCTTTCTTAACATAAGTCACCATCACTCTGAACAATAGATCCAAGATATCTAAAACGTGTACTCTTATTAATGACTTGATCGCCCAAAGTCACAATCCCCTCACTAGGTCTATTACTACTAAAATTACACTCTATATATTCCGTTTTAGATCTACTCAAGCGAAAACCTTTAGACTCTAAGGTTGACCTCCATAATTCAAGTTTACCTTCAACTCCCTCTCTAGTCTTATCAACAAGAAAAATATCATCAGCAAAAAGCATACACCAAGCCCGATGAAAAAAATTGAAAGAAAAAATTTTAAAACTGTCTATGTCCGTCCCAAGCCCGATGAAAAAATTGAGGGAAAATTTAAAAAAATTAATTTAGCCCCCCATGAATAAATTTTCAGGCTCCGCCACTGAGTTCAATTCTAGTATATTAAAATCTTATTTATGAGCAAAAAAACAAACCTTGCATATAAAAAGGTCATAAACGGAGTTATTCTTATTTGATTCTAAATCTTCAGTCCAAACGAATGTAAAAAACATCACAATGATGCCATTTTTTCCCAACCCATACGAGAAAACTCCATAGATCATCCACCCACGGACCATCAGAAAATAGCAGAATCTCAAAAATCCAGACCCAATTTCTATTCATTTAAATTCAAAGCAGAGAACGCATGAGAGTTAATGCGAAGCATACCGGACGACGCGTTGCAATTGTTCACGTAATCCAGCCCCCGGATCGTTCTCACAGCCACAGAAGACTCTCGGTTCTCTTCCATTACCAACCCGTCTTTGTCCTAAGCGTCCAAAAGGCCCAATCATCAATCAGGCAGACCTCTCAAGCACGGATCTAACCTCGGAACTCCCCTCCATCCAACCCAAAAAGAACAGAAGCGAATTTCGAATCGCTAGAGCCCCAGCAGCCGCTGCGATCTCAAAACCATCCGATTAAAACAGCGGTTCTCTCAGAGAGGAAAAGGCGAGGTGTAATGAAACAAGGATCTCCGTTGTATGTCAGGGCGCCAGAAAAGAAAGAGGAGTCCCCGCCAACCGGATAAAGGAAGAGAATGGGGTAGAGAGGGCTTCTTCTGACCTCTAGGGTTTAGAAAGTCGGCAGAGAGATGCTGGAAGCGGCAGCTTGAGAGCCTCCCTTCTCCCTTCTCTCTCTTCTGTATTGTTTTCTCTGTCGACCACCCTTTTATTGGCCACCAACATCTACCTGGGCTTCTTTCCGGATATAGCTGGCCTCGCTTTCTTATAGCGGAAGCCATTTTGTAATTAGTACCTATTTTTTAATTATTTGCATTTTTGTCGATTTTTTTATTGTTAAGTTCCAATATTTTATTCATTTTGCAATTTGTTCAGGTGGTCGGTTTGTGAATTGCCATGCTTGGCGGGAATTTTTATGATAGATTCTAGGGAAATAACAGCAATATCAATTATCTAAATAATTACGATTAATGCCCTGCAGTGAATTGTAAATTTAAATGTTTAAATATTACACAATATTAAAATCCATTAATTTATATTTTTTAAATTATACATATTTTTGTGTCACAAGTTTTATTTTCTCTTTTTTCTTTTAGCGGTTAATTACGGCAAACATTTTGATATATTACCGAAAGAGAAAATTGTAATAATTTAAATTTGATTCATTCAATGTCTTTGTTCAAATTTAACGGTTAATATGTTAAATTTTTTTAAGGATTGAGGTTGGGTGGTTGTGTAAATTACACTTTAATTACTTCTAGAAGCATCTGTTCAATGAAAAATTTTGTTAAGGACTGAGGTTGGGTGATTAGTATTTAGCTATTTCTAGAAGCATCTATTCAATGAAAAAAATTGACTATAATTTGATGGCATTTAATTATTAAAAAATATTGATAATAATCTAAGAAGATATATTTTATATTGATATAACTAGTTGCTTGGTAAATATCATTAATTAAGAGTAGGTATGATAAAATGGTGTGTGTATATATAAAAGGATGTCATATCAAATAATATTAAACATTTTAATGTAGTAGCAAAATTATATATTTTAGACGATAAAATAAATATAAATCTATTCGATTTCAAATGAGTTATCTTGTTTAATGGAAATTAGGTATGAGAAAAAATCTTACGCATAAAAAAGTTTTATTATTTATTTATATTTGATAAATACATCAATATTAATCAGTCAAATAACTATATTTGTTAGAAGATGGTAGTTAGAGGATCATAGTCGAGCAACAGTGATCGAAGAAATATAGTGAAGCAATTGTGGTCTGAGGAATTTGGTTGGGCGATGGTAATTAGACTACTAGATTTGAACGATGATGGTTGGCTTGACTATGACCCTCCATGCACCTTCCCCGATTATAACCATTCGACTACTATTGCCCGAATTATGTCCCTCCAACCATTGTTATCCAACAACGATCCTCTAACCATTATCGTCGACTATGATCATCTAACCATTGTTGCCCTCGTATGATGATTTGACCACCATCGCTCGATTATGATCCTCCAACCATCATCCTTCAATTGTGATCTTGTAATCATGATCGTCCACTACATCTACGTACATTCGTTGGCTTCATCACCAATCATCACTAATATTGCTGGTGCAAGTCAATGCCCATCAGACTGATGCATGCTATCAATATTAACGCCTTTTTAAAGGAGCGTACGAGAACCATAAATTATGAAAAGGAGCGCATCCCAGCCAAAATTTAAAAAGGAGTGAAATCGCTATAAGGATTTGGCGTAGTCTTTTTATTGTGAAGAAAACATCAAAATTTTTTGGCCCAGTGAGTTGATGTTACAAAAATAGCCAAATAATTTAATGTAGGCATTGTTCACATACGATAAGAAACGTCAAAACGATTGGCACTGTTCACGAGCGAGGAGAGTTATGAGACAGAGAAATGGAGAGAAAGAGAGAGAGAGATGATAGGAGAGTGTTTTTAATATAATAAGATTTAAATATCATTATTTAAATATTATTTAATATTAGTTATTTAATTTATTAAATAATTAATTACAAAAAATTATTTAAATAAATAATATTTTAACAGAGACAAATACTATATATATATATATATATTAGGATGAACTTGAAAATTATTAATTTTGTTTTGAGATTAGAGTAATACAAAATTGTCATATAAAACACTAATCTCAAAGCCAATTCATTCATAATTTTTAAGTTTAACCCACTAACTTCAGCACCGATCATCGTCAAGAACATCAATACATATCATTGCTTGAAATAATGATTGATAAGTCAAACTCAACTTAAGGCTTCATTTGGGACAACTTTTTTATTGCTGTTTAAAACAGCTTTTTAATACAAAAAATTTTAGTTCAAGAAAATTTTATATTAAAAAGTCGTTTTAGAAAGTAGTAAGAAAGTCGTCCTAAATGAAGTCTAAATTGAACTCATCTCCACCACTTGCCCCTTCTTAATGATCATGGAAGTATTTATGATAATTATTCTCCAAAAAATTTTAGATTAATCACTCATTTATTAATAAATACTTAATCATTGCTAAAAACTCATTATGTTATGTTTTTTAATATGAGATTGCAAATTTTATAACGCCAAACTTTAAGTAAAAAAAAACATTCTAAAAATTGAAATTACAAATACATTTCATCTCATGTAAAAAAAAAATTGTGTGTGATCAATGGAGCATTATTCATTAAAATATTTGAAGCATAGCGGAGAAGCAATTGAAATTATTTCTTTGAAATCAAATGCATTGGCAATGAGAAGCACATGGGATAGCTTAAACCCACAGCAAGAGTCCCACACAAAAGAGAAATTTCTATAATTGGGGAGTGGGGGGATGCATAAAGGCCTATTGATAAAATGATGGCCAAACATTTAGAAAGTTCGGCTCCAAAGCATGCAATTAGGGGGAGAGATTATTACATGCGGAGTCCGGACTCAAGATATGTTCTGATTTTTATGAACACTATACATTTGATGTGTATTTATTGTGTACCCTCACAAATTCGGACAGTCCGGACTCTGCACGTAATAATATCTCCTAAAAGAATAGATGAAAAAGATGACTAACTAGTCTCTTTCAATTGATTAATAATACAACTTTGATGTCCCTGTGCCTTTCTCCCAAGATATTAATTTTTTATAATAAATTTTCACATATATTTTTCTTTTATTAAAAGGATTATCAAATAATGAGAAATAATTGAATGATTAAATCATAATTTAAAATATTATTTCAGAATTTTAATTGGGGTTTAAGTCAAGCTTAGCTAAAATAATGGTTATCTTTAGCTTAAGTTTATTTGCTCAATCAATCTACATGAATTATGCATAATAAATGGTGTTTACACCATAATTGATTAATTTTAAGTTAATTAAAGTATTTGAAGTATGTTAGAATTATATTAAGTAAATCTTATTAATAAAAGTTGCTCTTTATTACTATGAGTAATTAGTAATTAATTAATTATTTTATGACTAATTATCTCATTTTTATATTGAAACAAACTTAATGATTGGTATCAATAAAATTTCTAATTGATTAATTCTTATTTGATATAAATAAATAATAAGTTATTAATTTTTTGTTTATTAAGAAGTTCAAGCTCATCATGGTTATCACATAAAATATTAATGAACTTAGCGAAAATCTTAATAAATATTTAATTGGTCAAATGACATATTAATCAGCTATTGTTATTATTACTAACTAACTGATACAGAAATTAAATGCTTGTTTTATGCTTAATTTTATTTGTTTTAGACTAATTAATTGTTAACAACCTTTCATTTGGATGATTTTTTTTGTGTGTGGCTATGTTAAGCCTTTAGGCAAAGTGTTTAACAAGCTTAACTTAACTTGTAATTAAAATAACTTAAATACAAATCCTGGTTTAGGGAAATGTAATTTTGCCATTTCATGTTGTTATCATTTGCACTCTACAACCATATGAAGAATCAATTAAGGCAACATATGCAATAATCTTCCTCATCATTAGATTTATCCCAATTAGATGTTATAGATTTCTTCTAATATTATCTTAGGCCTATTGGATTCATATCCTTTGTGATTTCTATGATAGTTGTACCTAATGTGATGGCACCTATTACAATCAATTTATTTTTTTTCTAATTTTATACATATTCATCTCAATTAGGGGTGTCAATTTCGGGTCACGGGTCGGGTTCAGGTCGAACCCGACCTGACCCGGGTGGAAAACGGGTCAACCCTAACCCGACCCGGGTAGAGAAACGGGTCGAAAATCCGAACCCGACCCGTTTTTGAAACGGGTCGATTTCTGGAACCCGAACCCGACCCGTTTTGAAATCGGGTCGGGTCCAACCCGGCGGGTCCGGGTCGGGGTTTCGTGTCGTGTCAAAAATTGACACCCCTAATCTCAATATTTCTAGTTTACTATATTTAACTTAGACTTCATTTGTGACAACTTTTTTACTGCTTTCTAAAACAGCTTTTTAGTTTAAAAATTTCTTCAAGTTGAAATTTTCGAAGTAAAAATCTGTCATAGAAAGTAATAGAAACGCTTCTCAAGTAATATAAAAAATCCATCTTCTATTTTTCTTTCACCTTTTCATTAATTATAGTAATAAAACATGACGTCTATCATAGATCTTTTCGACATGAAATCAAACAGATAAAAAAACAATTTAATTTATTTTTTATTTTATTAATCTCTTTCATAATTCATTGCATGACTCATAAATTTGATTCATCAATCATTATCAAAATATTGAATATTTTTTCATGTTTGTAATTATTGCTATCATCATGTTTCTTTAGACATTTGATATCCATTTTAATCTTGAAAACATCATCAAAATATTTATTAATCAAAATCAACATTATCGCTTAAAATCACAATAATTGCTTTATCTTAATTAAGATCTTTACCATATGCATTTTCTTTAGAATTAAGTCCACTTTATTTTTTAAAATTAATTTATCATATTCAACATAATGGTTTTCATTAAGAACTTTAAAATAAATTAATCCCTTAAAAACTAATAATTTTTTTTTCAAAGTAGCACTTAGGTTTGGTTTGAGCAGCTTTCTTACTATTTTTTAAATCTATTTTCTAGTATACAAATTTATAATTCAATAAATTTTTGAACTAAAATCTGTTTTAAAAAACAATAAGAAAGTCATCCTAAAAGAAGCCATAGTTACATATATTCCTTATGTCATTATCTTTGCGTTGGATCATATTAACTACATTTTAAATCCATTTAACCTAATAAACAATGTTATATCCCATCACTTAAATTATTTTCTACTACTTTAACTTTATTTATTATCCGTTTAGAACAAATTTAACTTTTATACAAATCATGGTTAATCATGTATGATATATATTTTATTTTTCAAACGTAAAAGTGCATCTAAAGGCGAGCCTAAACCACTAAAGTTTCGTTTGATATGACTTTCTTACTGCTTCTAAAGTAACTTTTTAGTACAATAATCATGTATGATATATATTTTATTTTTCAAACGTAAAAGTGCATCTAAAGGCGAGCTTAAACCACTAAAGTTTTGTTTGATATGGCTTTCTTACTGCTTCTAAAACAACTTTTTAGTACAATAATTTTAAGAAGCTTCTTTAATGTGTAATATGCTTCTTTAATGCCTTAGCTTTCATTCTTTTACCCATTGCATCTTCTTTCCCATGTTTTCTCCCTTTCTCCATCAAGTAGACAATAACAAATCATTTACATGAACAATAAAGATGAGCCCACTTATAGCCACTGAAGTAGAAGGCTATATAACAAGAATTACATTAAAAGATAAATATATAAATGATATAGTATGGCTTAATAAAAATCTTATCATAAAAGAAAATATGTTAATTATATCTCATTAATTACATAATATGAATTAGAATCTTCAAGGTATAAGATGAGCCCACTTATTGCCACTGATTAGTCTGATTTGATTTGATTGACTTATGATATCAATATTTTTTAGTAAATTAGGTTGACTCAAACTTAGCATGAGCAATTTAGGATATATAATAACATTGATTCAGAAATATTATTAAAGATTGTTTGTAAGAGAATGCTATATAAAAGGAATGTACTTTATTTAAAATATTTTAGAATTGTCTAAATAAATGTAAGCATTTTTTTTTGTTTCAAACAAAATAAATACATTGTAAAGCCTAAACATTGTGGTGGTTGATAACTGATGTTGGAGATAGGCAATAGTAGATAATGAAGGTGGGTGATGAAGAACGACAATGGCGACGGCCGACGGTGACAACAGAGTGAGTGGTGACAAGTGATAAAGACAACACTAACGATGATTGACAAAATCAGTGGTAGCCAGCCTGCAATGGCCATGAGGACGAAGGCAACTGACATGCAAAAAAATAGCAATGAATTTACAATGTATTTGAAAATCCACTAAACCTATCAAATTTCAAATACGCCAAATTTGCATTAAAATGTACACCCAAAACTTTATACTTCATTTTATTTTACTTTAAATCAAATACCAATATTTTCAAAAACCCTACATTTAAAACACTTCAAACTGATCATCAAACCAGCAATTTCTGATAATCCAACAACAATCTCAGAAGTTAAAAGCTTCTCCATGTTTTCCACTCATCATCATGTCTTCCTAAAAACCACAACAGGCTCGAGCGTCTACCAGCAATGTGACCAACACTCTTACATGAGCTCTTAACTAAAAACTCCAATTTAGGAAATTCAATGCCTTGTTACATACAGGACCACCATACAAATTATAATTTACATAAACCTCCTAAATGAATCCAAAATTCACAACAGCTGCCATGACTAGCCGTTGAACTTATAGCTAAGATTCAGTGGATTATGGTGATCCTATTTGTTGTCTGCTGGAACAATGTGGTTTAACAGCAAGTGGGGATGAAGAGGGATGATAATAGCTTTCTCAAGAGTTGCTGCTTGAAGGATCTGAGGTAGTAACTACTTTCCTTAGGAGCCTCTGCTTTCTAATGCTCTCATGGCAGGGGGCAAAGAACTCGTGCATTAAAGCCTCCTCGGCGGAGAATCTGCGCCGTGGATTTACGGCGAGGCACTTGTCAACTAGATCAAAGAGTGATTCAGGGATGAGCTCAAGGAATTCCGGTCTCCTAGTGTTCTTCACACACCAGTCACTCAGCTCCATTGATTTCAGTGATCCGACCTCCAACAGATCCTGCAAGTAATCACCAATATAAGAGTATGCTACTAATCGGATGAGATGTGGGGAGATTTCTCAAAAAAGCTGAGAGTAGTTGATAAGAACTACCCCCACTTAAAAGTATAGAGGTGAGGGTTCAAATGGAGAGATTATTCTGTGCGCACACCGGACGGGAGAACCGTCCGATTCAGCGCTTGGTACCGAGCGCTCAGTACCGAGCACGGTACATTTTTTTGGGGCAACGTGGTGCATTTTTATTGGTCTCCAGAAGAATCCGAACCCGCACGTAATAATATTTCATTCAAATGACAAGCATATGAAATATTGGAATCGAATTATGGCAGCATTGAGGTGGGTCAAATAATTTGAATTCAAACAGAAAAACTAATATTACTGCTAAACTAAAAAAAATCAGCTTAAAAAGTTATAATACCACAGGAAAAGAAGACTCGCAATTGTGTAGCTTGGCAACTTCCCATAAATCCTCACTGCCTCTCAGCTTTGCAATTTCTTTAATGTTTCTGTGTAGCAGAAAGCAACATAAATTGAAGGTTTCACAAAGAAGAATGAAGTCAGCAAAAGTTTGCAAGGACCTTGTTGTGAATTTTAATATTTAAATGAGAATTTGAAAATTGGCGGCAAGATGGAGTTAGTTTTGTAAATTAGTTGTAATTGCCCCAATAAATAAAAACTCACTGTTCAGGATCACCACCGAATGGAGCCCTTCCTATCATTAAGTAAAGCATTGTGACACCAGCAGACCAGATGTCAATCTTGCAACCTTGGTGGAAAGACTTGAATAATACCTGCATCAGCTTACATTATTTATCTGTAACAATTACGTTTCAGAAGATGAGAATTAGTTGGAGTGAAAGGAAAGGCAAACCTCTGGAGCTCGAAAGCCCTTGGTTCCAACACAGGGACCTTCTCTCTTGACCTTCCCACTAGCTGGAAATGTCAAAGATCAGTCAAACCAGTTCCAAAGCAGCAATAAAAAAATAAATAAATAAATAAAAATCTGAACGGTACAACTAGGGGTGTAAACCAGTCGAGCCAAGTCGAGTTTAAGCCCTTATCGAGCTCGGCTTGTTAGATGGAAAGCGAGATTTTTAAAACTTAGGCGGGATTTTTAAAACTTAGTCAAATTTTTTTAAAAAATATAAAATATTTAACATTTAAATAAAACTTAGGTGATTTTTATTTATTTTTTAACATTTAAATTTAATAAATAAAATAAAATTATTTAAAAAATATTAATATTTATTCGAGTCAACTCGCGAGCTCACGAGCTGAGCCGGCTCAAGCTAGAACTCGAGCTCGTTTACTAAACGAGCTCAAGCTTGACTCGTGAGCTCGATAAGCTTGACTCGCGAGCCCAAAAACGAGTCGAGCTCGAGCCGGCACGGCTCACTTACACCCCTAGGTACAACATAAGGATAATTGACAGCACAATCTACCTTTGTTTCTTAAAATGCCTGCACCAGCCACGGGATTACCACCAGAATGCAATGGCATGGGAGTAAGTATTAGAAGCCTTGAATCAGTTTTTGTCATTGGTGCAGCAACTCTTTTCCTCTGGGAAGAAGGACCATTTGAAACAGGCTTCAAATTTTGGGGACTGTGCATGGCCTTATGTACAAAATTGATAAGCTCTTTCCTTCCCTTGCAAGGAATTGGCTGCTTCAACCAATCCACTGGAGTCCTATTGCTAGTTTGATCCTTTGTGGAGGTCAGACCTGAACCATCAGCCGTTTGGCTTACTTGCTTGCTTCTGTCAACAATAGGAAAACCATCTATATCACCTCTCTGAGCTTTCTTCTTTGAGTTCTTGGATGTTAGAACTTTCTTAGATTCGTTAGCTGTTTCTTTCCTTGCATTCTCCAAAAGGACATGGTCAATAAATTTCCTCGAATGGATATTTGACCTTGACTTTGTTTCCGGAAGAGAATTTGGATTTACATTCGCAGTTGGCATCTTCCGTTTGCCTATTCATATAGTGAAGGATTCATCTATTAATAAATGATCCCAGCCGTTACATATCACGTCTAGAGAAGTATGTATTGAGCTTACAATCTTTTTAAATGGTAAGATAAAAAAATATTCTTAAATAATTGAAAAGTATGGTCACCCTAAGGGATACAAATAACTGATAGAATATATCAAAGGAAATACATCAATTAGGGTAATTAATAATTAAATTTGAATCTACATTTGCAATGTCGTGTCAACTCTTCTATACATCCTTTTATTTTTTTACTTTGCCTATACCATAAAAACATTTTTAGATACCTATCCATCTCTAATCCATAGAAACATGTTCATCTACTAGATCAAACAAATTATTAATTAAACTTGCTAAACCCCACTCATTTGTAACTTGCTTAAATAACAATTCTGAGTTGATACAACGGTGCAAGGTAATTTAAGAAACATCATAGTAGTGATAAGAATTTGAGTTGACAAGGTGATGTGAAACATAAAGCAATTCCAGGAATTACATGGAAATTATAAAAAGTTATTAAGCTTGCTAATTAAAATTTAATGTTTCACAAGATTAGATTCTAGGATTTCTCATTTAGAGGAGGTAGAAATTAAAATAAGAACAAAAAATATTAAATGCTTAATTTGCCAATCACAAGAATCCACCAATTAATAATTAGAATGGTCTCCTTGAGTTTCCCTCACTCATACTCATGGGTATTTGAGCAGAAGAATAATTTATACAATATTAATGATGCCACCACAATACAGTAAGCACTTATAGTATTGATCAATGAAGAGTTGTTCGGAGAGGAGGTAGCTAGTGGGTGATGGAGGATTTTTCACTCAACAGGAAATTGATGCTCGTCGATAGCGATTGTCAAGGAAAAGAAGATCCGGTCGATGTAGTCTTCGACGGAGTTGTCGATCTCGAAATTGATGTCGATGAAGGGAGAACAATGAACATCCACTCATCCTTGAGGGTCGAATACGAATTCATGAATCATGATCATGCTCGGGGTCGACCATCCATGGAAAGTGAAAGTTCCTCCAATTTCAGGAGGGGGCTAGGGTGGCTGGTGGCTTGTATGGAGAAAGAGGAGAGGAGGCGTTCAAGAGAGGCTATGAGAATTTGAGAATTAAATCCAACAATTATTCAAGAGCTGGGTAATTAATTGGTGGAGTTAATGAGAGGAGAGAGAGGGAAGGGGGAATTAATTGGGGTTCAATTAGGAAGAGGCTCTTAGTAGAGAGAGAGGGGGGAGAGGCGCGGCACAATGATGGGGCTTGATTGGGGTGAATTGATTGACTTCTATAATTGAAACTTTAAATTAGGAAACGATTTAAGGGCCTTTCAAAATTTAAAATTCAAATTAAATTAATGGAGGGAGCTTTCTTAATTAAATATGCTTAATTTCTTGCAAAAAATATGGACAAAAACTCAGAATTCTTCCTAAAAAATCATTTATTCTATTCTGACCATTTTTGCTAGTTCATTGAAGCATAAAAAAAACAGCTACAGAAAAACTACAGCAAAACTATAGCACAAACTCTGTCGGTAAACTGCCTTGTGTTTACCTATTGCTTACCTTGCTGATTTGCTGCAGTTGCTTTACTGTTTATTATTATTAGTTGTTCTTCGCTTGTTGTCCACAGCCTCACATGTTTATTGTCTACACTAATCTAATCCTCAAGAAAGCAGCATGTTGTTGCTCTCCCAGAAAGAATCAATTCCAAAACAACAAACTTAAAGGTTGTTATAGCAAAACAGTAACAAAGAAAAACACTTCGCTACTTACCAGAGAAGGAATTAAAAAAAAAAAAAAAACATGAGAGCTTGTTGGAGAGCAAGTAAAAATAGATAAAACAGCAAATGGAAGCCATCTACAACATGAAACAACGCTTTAGATATTTTTATTAATAGAGGGAGAAAGGGAGTGGGAAGGGGACTCGCAGCAATGGAGCAATTATTGTTTGCATGTACACAAAGAGGAATGTGTGAAGGGGTGCACATAAATGTGTATTTGATATTTATTGCTATACGCAGAATATTTATAAAATTTTACAAGCAACAATACATGGCCAAAATGGAAAACCTTACTACGCATTATTATGCACAAACTATTTATAATAGTGTGTACACAACAACAACAATACACGACAAAATGCAAGAACGTATACCTAAAAGTTATCACATACTTATCATAATTATCGATCAGTTTAGTTCATCTAATAATTTTTTAGCAATGTGTGGAAGCTTGGTATGACCGACTTAATGAGTTGGCTCTCAGCACTAAATGGGCCTCATATAAACCCGTAATCATCCTTAGAAAAATAAGTTCTATTCCCAAAAAAAAGATCGATTATTATGATAAGTATGTGATAACTTTTAGGTCATTAGGAACTCGTGACTTGCATAATTAGATCCCACCAATCTATAACTAGCGCATACTTGGCATGACAATTGAATAACCGGATTAATTCATTGCAAAAAATTGTTTAGGTCCAACCGAAATTAAATAAAAAACAACGAATTTAACAAGTGCAAAGAGCAATACACTTATATAGGGACCAGAGGACTCATTGCTGCTGAACAAAAAAAGGAAAGACGCAATGGAACTTACTGTTTCTGCAAAACTTCTGCTGCAGGTCCTATACAATAGAAAAATGGCCAAGCTAATTTATCACTAACATATTCAATCAAGTAAATGAAGACACGGGAATAGATGAACAGTGAATAGAACTCACACTAGCTAAATTGAAGTCGATGAGATAACCTTTGTTTACTTTGCGGGAAAAGAGGAAGTTTCCTGGTTTGACATCGCGATGCACAACACCCTGCCAAGATGAGGAAAATAAATGCATATCAAACTTGTGATGTCAAAAGTACAAAACTTTATTTCATATGGCTTACCTGCTTATGCAAGCTTGCTAGTGCTTTGAACATACAGAAACCATACCATTGGAGCTCAAACATACCAATTTCTTTTTTCAAAATCTGAAATAAAAGAGCAATATTAGTATATTTATATTGCACTGCATCATGATAACCTCTTGACCAAATGAATTATACCTCAGGTCTGTCATGCTCAACATGTTCTAGGACGAAGCACTCTGACTCTCCATTCTTAAAAGAGCATTCATACTTAATCACAAAGTTGCGTCCTCTGCATCACAATGAACTGATTTGTAAAGTGCTGATAAACATCTTAAAAAATTTAAACTACCCTCATTTATCAATTACCCAAATCGTTCCAACATCTTCAGCTCATTATAGACATGGTGTGAATTAGCATTTGCATGAGGACCTAAGAGAGCAAAAAAATCATATCAGAATCAAATAATCATTTCAAACTCATCTAAAAGACTGCATATTCCAACAAAGCAAATGATAAGTAAAAAATCAACCAAAAAAAGATACAATGCAGAACATCACAACCATAGAGACTGGAAAAATGTGATGAAGTTATTGGAACTTAATAGTGCTAGCTAGAAGTTACCCCATTATAAGCATACCAATAAAGGATGAATGCATTGAAGCAAAAAAGATTAGCATCAGATGCCAAAAATTACCTCTGATTAACCTGAACATGGCATGGCCACAAAACTTTCAGTGTCTTATTTCTAGATACTTCAATACAAATCACAAGATACGGTCAACAAATAAAAAATTTTGAACTCCTAAATTTCTTAATTTATCACATGATTTAAATGGATCTTCATCAAGGATCACTTAAAAGCTACACATCACTACCACCTCCTCTTAAAATTTTGGAGTAGTATTCTCATCTTTATGTTGATGACAAATATTTATGTAAAAGAAAGATGAGTTAAATAAATGAAAAATAAACAAATTAGGAGGTATTGGACTCTATAGGATGAGGCATGGGAGAGATCAATTTGTTATGATGACGACTCAAATAAAGATTTAATCAATGATGACAATGCAGATGATTTTTTAGTTGTTGACAACTATTTCAGCTCTCATTATGAATTAAATATGGGTGAATATGGAACTGAGAAAAAAATAAATTTGGAGTTGAATTTGATATTATATGATACTTTATACAACTTTTATATTTTATATTTTTTTTCTCTTGCAATATTTGAATTTTAATTCTATTTTAAATAATTTATTACTTGTTATTTTACATCTAGTTCATTTTTTTGCTTCGTATGCATGTCAATTTGTTACTTGATAAGCAATAGAAAGCTAATGTGATCCTTTAACATATTATTTGAGTATTATATTAAAAAATACTTTTAACTTTTATTTTTACTTTACACATTTTTTGAATTTTGAGGCTTACACCTCAAAACACCTTGAATCTCACTCCTTGTCTCACAAATGAAAAACACCTCAATACCTAATTGCTCAATTTTAAACCTTGATGAAGTCTACGTCAATGTAACGATGTTATTCCGTTCAAAATAACCTAGAAAGATTTTTCAATGGTTAAGTGTTGGAAGTAGTTACTGAGAAATAATTGAGTTGACAATCCTAAGTTAGACTTTCTAGTGTCCACTGATTATTCAAGATTACAAGTTCTGCAACAAATAAGTGTTAATGCATGTATCATGATGTGCCAAAATTACATAATCAAAACATGTGCAAGGGAAATCACAGAATAAAATGCAATAAGGAAATTAAATGTTCTTTAGAATTACAAACTACAAAAATGCCAATAAAGGAAGTGGGATGATGAGTACACATTAGTAACCAGCGAGTCAAATGAAGTATACATGGAAATTAAGCCAACAATCATTGAAAAAGCAGAGGACTGCCTACATACATTTAACCGCAAATATTTTTCCATCATCTTTCCTTTTAGCTTTGTAGACAGTGCCATAGCCACCTGAATTTGTATTTTTCAGATAAGGAGAATACAAAAAGAGCACTAATTTTGCAATAAATTAACTCATTATACGATCAAACATGTCCTTAGCATACTGATATGCAAGTATTACCTGAACCCTCTTCTTCCACTATGATAAATGATTCTAAATTAGGCATCAACTTCTGATCTGAAGAGTTCTGTAGAAGTGTGCCATAAGCTATAGAACATAAGCATGTGCTAAATGTTTATCCTTGTAAGAAAGTGAACGTTATTCAAAAAGTTTTACTATTAAAACAACTATGCAAATAAACTACTACTTGAAAGAAGCTTACCTTGGTAATCTTAGTGGAAGCATGCACCCTATTTTCTTTAGAATGGAGGTTCACATTGCAAACATTTTTTACTTTCTGCTTGGCAATTAAACCAACCTGGAAATTTACATTATGTTCCTTTGTAGAAGAGGTGCTATTGCTTGCAATATTCGACCCCATTAAATTTTGCAGCTCAACTGAAGCAATATGATCTTTTATGCAAGGTTCACTAAAAGTCCACTGCTTATCTTCAGCTACATCAGCAAGTCCATCCAATTGGGTTTGGAAATTATCATATATGGTAAATATTATGAATTTAATACCTAAAGTACCAAATTATAGCTTAATACCTATTACTGCTGAATTCTTGCCAACATCTATAAATTCATCGTTCATCATTGATGTTTCCTTCCTATGAAAATATGTTGTTCTAGAATCAACTGGTGTTTCTTTTGTCTCCAACTCAACAGTAATTAATGCATCATCTTTGGAATGCAACTTTCTCTCATTAACAACGTTAGCAACCTGTTGGTAACAGCATGCCAATCTAGAGGCACTTTGATTATTATAATCAAGCTGATCCAGTGCAGTCTGATCCAGCACTCCATCCATCAGGGATGTCCCAAAATTCAGTTCTATATTATTTGGCCTTTCAAGGACAGGTGTTTCAGGAACATCGGCAAAAAAGCCCAACTCAAGAGAAATAGTGTTACAATCTTCTCCCAGAGTTTGATTCACTGGTGAAGTCTGATCCGAAAGTGGTCTAAAATCAGGCCCGACCAACACCAACCTTTGAAGAGCTTGTTCTTTAATAATATTAGCATCAAGTTCAACATCAGGCGAGTTTTTTTCATATAAGCCAACAACTTTCTTATGAGGAAACACGGAATTTGCAATATAAGCATCACCTGCCCTGGTATATCCTTGTTTGGTGCAGCTGATATTTCTTGATTCAAAACAATTCAAACCGTGGAGGACAACAGGAAAATTGTATGCTTGTTCTAATCCAACAACACTACAATCAAATTTCCTCGGTCCTACTGAATGCCAATCATTTCCCAAAGGACTAGCAACCTCAAAATTTTCCTGTAAGACATTATAAGGAAATGATATTGTTAAGCAATAAGCAGTGTACGGTGTCCATGTAGGATATATGTTTCAAAAGCACAATGGAAGTTATCAAGAGTTATGAATGTTACCAAAGAGCTCTTATTGCGAAGAAAAAAAAATCAAGCATTAAGTATCCTTAGGTATAATAACAGCATACAAAGTACCAAGGATAGCGTGAATCATTTTCCTAACGAATCCATAAAAAATAGATATATCATAAATTTCTAAGAAAACACACGTTGTACAACAGCCAAAACTACTGGTCTTACCTAGCAAGATTTGTAACATAATTGTTCTAGCCAGAATAATTAACCGAACTTAAATGCAACAATAATATCCGATGAACTATTTACCACGGAAAAACCAATAACACATAAGATTTTTATCAGCCACTGAAATGAAAAATTATACAAGAGATGTATCAGTAAATTAGTTCGGTCATTATTCCTGTAGGTAAGGTTACCATCTTAATTTGCACAACTAAAAGAGGTAGAAATGGAATATTACCTGCCCTGGAATTTCATTCAAGAGGGACGAAAGCTTTGGCAGCCCTTCAACTTTCATAGGTTCTCCCTCATCTACAATGAACATAACATTGAGGGCTGCATCAGACATCTACTCAAACGATTACAGGAATATAGACTGCATTTCAGGTCTAATTGAAACTATATGGATCTGAAATTCACTGATCCATATAAAAAAATGGATTTTATTTGATATTAAAAACATTTGATGACTGAATTAGCAGCATAAATAAATCTTTACAAAAAAACAACACAAAGTAGTATATGAAGATTCAGTGCATCAAAATAAACAAAACTTAGCAGTGGATTAAGAAAATCTAACTCAGCCCGACCGTTACCTATGCCGGCTCATACCTCTCTCATGAATCATCAATGTCCTCCTCTTTGATCTTGAGAACAATACAGAAGCGTTGCCCGAGCTCGGGGCCTTCCTCTTCCTCACGTATGTCACGGAAACATTCCACCTTCCCCTCCTCAGTCCCGAATCCCTAAACGTGTCCCTGGGCACGTACCATGCAACGGCTCTCGTCATAAACTCCTCAAAAGCGTCGACCGCCACATTGGACGAGCTCATAAAGCCACCAGAGGTAAACTTCGACGGGGATCTCAGAACCTGGCAAAGGCTTTTCATGAGATCTGGCACTATCGGTGATCTCAAGGCGAGCTCAGCTAGTCCGGCGGGATTTCCCTGCCGCATCAGAACGGCAAGGAGGTGCAAGGACGTTTCGATATCCATAGAATTGATAGGAGCGATGTCGGATATTGTGCCGGTAGCCTCCATGTGTGAAGATGGTATTGCTGGTGAACTAGGGTTTCAGATCCCAAGTTAAAGAATGGTTTGTCTTGCTAGGGTTCAAATTTTCTATCCATGGCCAAGGTGATGAGAGGGGATTAGAGTTTCCAGAGAAGGAACAGGGAGAGAGAGAGAGAGAGAGAGAGAGAGAGAGAGAGAGAGAGAGAGAGAGAGGTAAGAGCTGTGTTACGATTTACTGAGGGCCGCTTGAAAAATGAAACGCAGAATCACAGCGGTGATGGAAAGGGCGGGAAATAGCGGAATTTGGCTCGTGTGGATTTTCGAGTGCGGCACGTGCGAATGTCCCGCTCTTCTATTTGAGTTTGGAGTTCTAAGTTAAATGACGAAAATAGAGTCAATGAGTTCGAAATATCGCTTCACGATTCTTGGCCACTTAAAATTTATTGTTTAAATATTAACTCGGATCTGACCGGTTGGTTTGACTGGTTCAAACATGAACCAGTCTGGAGGGCAGTTTGGTCAACTGAAATAACCAGCTCGACGTAGAACTAGAGAAAAATCGGTCAAGAACACGGTTAAACCAGGAAATTGCTGAACCGGATGGTGTTAGAAGAACCAGACATTTCTTAATATCGCAAATCTCAGTCATCCATCTGTGATCGAACGGCGTAGGGAAATGCATTACACTATATTATTCAATCATTGCCCTAAGATATGTCATACCCTCGTATTTCAACTCCAAGCAAGAACATGACTCCTCCATCGGTCCATCCACAAGCAGAAGATGAATGCCTCCTCTAACCTCCCAGTCGCAAACGCACGGCTAACCCGACATCTTTGGCAGCTTATCAAGCTCACTCACCTTTGGTCACTGACATTTATAGTTCCAACTAGCTAGATCCCAACTCAAGCCCGAGCTTTGCCTCCCTCGACCTCACCTTTGGAGTGATTAATGCTTGGTGCTCTTCTCCTTAACAGAGTAATTACAGCAACTTAATTAATAGGAAATTGCAAGTAGAGAAATGTTGAGTATTTTTTTTATCCAAATCATTACTCGATAGGATGTCTCATACAAGTATGAAGAAAACAGTAAGTTACAATATGGTTAGAACTGTTTCTGGTTGGCCGACTAACTGGAGTAGTGCTCAGTTGTAAAACTGCACGAATCAAGTGTTGTAGTAGACAGATCGTTGTTTTGTATTATACTAGTGTGATAATAGCCCCCCTCAAATTAGGTATATGGTGGTCAGATAGTTAATTTGTTCCGAAGAGTAATGAATCTATTGGCGGAGAGTGGCTTAGTCAAAATATTTACTGCTTGATCAATTGAACTAATGTGTTGGACATCAATATTTTTATTTTTGATGTGATCACTAATGAAATGGTAGTCTATTTCTATGTGCTTTGTTATGGCATGAAACATTGGGTTGTTTGCAAGTGCTAGTACGGAGATGTTATCATAGTAGAGTTTAGTAGGTTGAGATTGAGTAACTTTGAAATCTATGAGCGGAGGTGGCTGAGGCTATGGAGCAATATTCTGCTTCTGTTGAGGATTTTGCAACATTTTATTATTGCTTAACACTCTAGGAAATGAGATTGTCGCTAAGATAAATGCATAAACTTGAAATGAATTTTATGTCCTTTGAGTCGGCAACCCAGTCGGCCTCACTGTAAGTAGTGAGGTTGAGATCACCAGGTGTTATTGGGAGACCAAAGTGATGTGTTCCTTTAAGGCATCAGAGAAGTCTTGTGAGAGCTTGGTGATCAGTAATTGTGTGATTATGCATGTGTTGGTAAAGTGCATTGGTGGCATAAGCAATGTCAGGTCTCGTTACCGTAAGATAATGCAACAAGCCGGCGAGTTGACGGTAATGAGTAGAATTTTCATATGGTTCGGCATTGGACTTATGCTGTGATTGTTTGGGAGAAATTGGGGTAGCAGCAGTTTTGCAAGAGAGAAAATCAGAATTATTGAGTATATCTATGGTATAACGTGTCTGGTGAAGGAATAGACCTTGAGTTGTTATGTGAACTTTAAGCCTGCGGAATAGAGAGATAGTGCCAAGTTGTTTAAGTGTGAATGAGGACTACAATTGAGAGAGTAGCTGCTGGATGACTTCTGAATTATTCCTCATAAGCGGTAGATCATCCACGTAGATGGGCAAGTACAGTTGGACATCAGAGTTGTTATAGATTATGAGGGACATGTCAGCTTTGTTGAATTGAAATCTGAAGGTTTGAAGGAATGATGTAAGCTTATGAAACCAATGATGGGAGGATTGTTTAAGGTCGTAGATAGCCTTCTACAATTTGCATACATGTTGAGGGCAATGAGGATCAACAAATCCATGAGGTTGTTGCATGTAGACTTTTTCATTGAGTTATCCGTAAAGAAATGCATTTGCGACATCAATTTGTAAGGTTGGACAGTTCCTTTGAAGAGCTATAATGAGAAAGACACGGATCGTGGTCATTTTTGCTACTGGGCTAAACATGTTTGTGTAATTGATGTCGAATTGTTGGCTGTAGCCATGAGCGACGAGGCGAGCTTTGTAGCGATCAGCAGTGCCGTTAGGATGTAACTTGGTCTTGTAAGTCCATTTACATCCAAGAATGGGAATGTTGGGTGGCGGTTTGATTAGGGTGCAATTACCTTGTTGTTGTTGTGTTAAAAACTCGGTGGATATAGCTTGTCGCCATTGATGTCGTTTTGATGCTTGCAAATAAGTGGATGTTGTGATTTCAAGATGAGGCAGTGTAGAGAGATCAAAGATCTTTTTGGGTTTAATGTGGCATGTTCTGAGCCGAGTTTGCATAGTGTGAGTTGAGCATGGTTGCAGTTGTAAAGGGTGGAGTAGGATGTTGATTTGTATGCAGTGGAGAAGGTGGGGCTGAATGGATTCATTTGTGGTAAGTTGAGTATTGTTGATGGACGGAGTAGATTGTATGAAGGGTGAAGTATTGTTCTGTATTGAATATGTGGAGGTTGGAATTAGCAGTAAGGGAGAAGTTGGTGTAGTAATTGAAGGAGGAAAGAGAATGGGTTGGGTGGAGATTGCGGGAAAAGTTTCCTTATGAAAACGGACATGTCGAGAAATTATGATTTTTCTGAGTGTGGGGGTTGAAACATCTAAAACCTTTGTGTTGGGTGGAGTATCCTAAGAAGTTTGCATGGATGGGAACGAGGTGAAAGTTTATGAGGAGCTTGTGGGTTAAGCCATGGAAAACAGAGGCAGCGGAAGGGTTTGAGGTGATCATAGGTGGGATTGTGACCATGGAGCAAACTATATGATATTTGAAAATTGAGGGCAAATGTAGGCAGTCTGTTTATTAGGTAATTTGATATTTGTACGGCTTCTGGCCAGAATTTTGTTGGTAGATTGGATGCATGAAGTAAGGTCATGATGGTGTTGAGGAGATGTCGATTTATCCTTTCGGCTAATCCATTTTTCTCTGGAGTGTATTGACAACTAAATTCATGAGTGATGCCATTTTGTAATAAAAATTGTTTTAAGTTGTTATTGTTGTATTCTCCTCCAGCATCAGAGCGGAAAGTTTTAATATTTTTTATGAAAGTGTGTTTGCACCATTTTGAGAAATTGTTGGAGTTTTGGAAAAGCTTCAGCTTTTGAATGCATTAAGTATAACCAACAAAATTGAGTGTTGTCATCAATGAACATAATATAATATCGATAGCCATCTAATGAAGCTAATGGAGATGGACCACAAACATCAGAGTGTATTAAGCTAAAAGGATGGGTTACATGACTAGATTGTTTTGTAAATGATAACTTGTGGCTCTTAGCCACATTACATGACTCGCAAAAAAAAAAAAATTACATATAGAGGGAATAAACTTAGGTATGACTATCATCACACGTTGGTGGGGATGTCCATGACGGGCATGCCAGAGTGTTGTTGGGGCAGAGTAGTGTGAAGAGCTCGGACAGGTAAGCTAGTAGAGGTATGTATTGGGTAGATTTTATCACGACTGCGCCCATGAAGTAATATGTGGTTGTCCAGTAGATCCTTTATTATGAATCCATTGACATCAAAATAAATAAAGCAATTACTATCATACGTGAGTTTAGAAATAGATAGAAGATTATGTTTAAGTGAAGGGACGTGAAGCAGATTGTGCAGTTGAAGCTTACGGGTGGATTATGGGAGTCGTAAGATGCCTTGCCTGTGGTGTTGTATGGGTAGTGAAGTGCTGTTAGCAATGGCGATGGAGTCTAAACCATGATAAGGTGTTGGCTGCTGTAGGATGAAGTAGTTGGAACATATTCAAGGTTTTTTCTATGCCAGCATGAAAGGGCTATGTGACCGATTTTCCCACATATTTGACAGATTGGTCTCTACGAAGTGTTGTTGGCGAGTGTCGAGGATCATCTGGTGGTGGGCCATGAATTTAAGGAGATACCTCTATCGCTAGATTGTCTAAATGAGTTGTTGTTAAGACGCCTTATGCGGTTAGATTGACCACAAGAGGTGTAGAGTGCCAGATGATCGATGGGGGGTTTGGAGTCATTCTGTATTTCAGATTGGATATGGATTTCCTAACTGCATAAGAGGGAGTATAGGACCTCTAGGCCGATCAGGTGAAGTGAAGCTGTAAGTGGAGGGCAATCCATTTATGATATAGAGGATGATATCCTCTATATCAATGTTAGATCTGGCGGCAGCGATGTTGTCGACCAAATATTTTATATGAGCAAGATATTGGGTGACGGTTTGAACACGCATCTGAATATGGTGGAGTTCATTCTTCAGTTGAATGACTCTAGATTGGTTTGTTGGTTGCAGCTGAAGTTTTAAGGTTGTCCATATCTGATGAGTTGTTAAAAGATGCAGAATATACGATAGCACTAATGGACATATGGTTGATAGCAAAGCAATAATAAAGTTTTGATCTATCAGCTTCCACATGCAGTAGTCATCGGCAGAGGAGTTGGGCGGACAGAAGAAGGTGCCTGTGAGATACCCGTCGAAACCGTTTGTAGAGAAGAGCTTTTGAATTTGGAGGTGCCATATAGCATAATTCTCATTGGTAAGTTGAATATATATTGACAATAGATTTGAGATTGGATATGAGAAATTTTAATGGAGATAGAATAGAAAATTCTGCCATTGAGGCAAACAGGAGGAAGTGGGTAGAGGTGAAGAAGAAGATTTTTGACTAGTCATTAGATGTGTGGAATGGGTCCTAGGCTCTGATACCATAACAGAAGAATTAGAACAACTTAATTAAGAGAAAATTGCAAATAAAGGAATGTTGAATATATTTTTATTCATCCAGATCATTACATGATAGAAAGCAGTATGTTACAATATGGTTAGAACTGTTTTTGGTTGGCCGGCTAATTGAAAGAGTAGTGCTTATTTATGGAAACTACACGAATCAAGTGTTGTAGTGAACAGATTGTTGTTGTGTATTATACTAGTGTGATAAAACTCCCATCCACAAAGAGATATAGCATAGAGGTATTCATGTATTCCTTTTGTTTTCTTCTTTTCTTCCCGTCGGTTAAAATCAAATGAATTGACTTCAATGATTTAGGTGCATTTGTGGCTGCAGATTTTGGTGAAACGAAATATGAGATATCAACTTATGAGGATAGCTTTTACGATGCAAATTAGGAGATATTTGATTTTCATTTTGTGAAATTATTAAAACTATTGAACTAATAAAGAGAAACATTAGTAACTCCTTATATATATTATGAATGTGTTATCTTTTTTTATTATCAGTTAGTGTAAATTATCACAATATTGAAATATTGTTTTTTTTTAATTTACTTCATATTATGTGTACAATTATGATGAGTACATTATATTTATTTTATTTTCAGAGCTTCACTAAATGGAGATAGAAATTATAATATCTAAAAATTTCTTTTGCTCGTTCCATTTTTTAATAGTTTCACATGTTAGAGATAGAGAAGAAGCCGGTCTGCATTCCTCAACACCCAACACAATAGTTTTCGACAAAGGTATGCATATCTCCCCCAATTTAATGTTATTTGGTAATCCTGTGCGGGAACCGGTGGCCGCGGAATTGACAGACAACCTCGTGTGGGAACCTGGAGCCACAAGGTCTGTCATTTGGTGAGTTATTATTTACTTATTTATGAAATATTTGTTTATGTTTTATTGATTTGCTTAATGCAACATGTATATTGTGTGTTATTTTTTATATTTTACAAACTTAATTGATGTTATATTTATATTATTTGAGTAGTTATATATGAAAATGTAATGTAGAGTGAATGTATTAGAAGAAAATTTATCATACATTTTATTATTTTTGATAATATTATTATTTATTATGTCATCCAGTTCGACCCCCGATTCAACTGATTGAACCGTGAACCTCTTCTTCTTCCGATTCATTGTTCGGGTCCGATTTTCAAACCCTTAGTTATTTGGATCGTTTTTAGTTAAAATCTAATAAAAATATTTTTATTTTTTTTTTTTTTGATTTATTTTGAGAATTTTGTTTTAGTTCATGTTATAGAGTTTGGATCAATGTTTTAAAAATCGGACCCGACTGGTCGGTCCGACCGATTCAACCATGAACCGATCTTATGGTCGGTCGGGTTCATGCTAAGAACCGGTTATGCATTAAACCAACCAAAACCGGACAAAACCGCCGGTTCAACCGGAAATCATTGAACCCGTGACGATTCTCTTGAACCGGTCGGTTCAACTTTTCCATTTTTAATATGCAAATGATTTAAATATTAAATAATAATCATAATTTAACAAAATCCATCTCTTCTAAGCCGAGTCACAGGAGCATAAGAAAGTGCTGCATACCAAGGCGAGTTGTAGCCAAATCTATCTCTTCCTCCGTAAAATCCATCATCAATAAAGAAGATTTCTTATCCATATCAACATGCGAAGTTGCATCATCATCCTATGAAAATTATGGGAATGGCATTTTAAATAAGAAACAAATCAAAATTTAAAATATCTAATGAATACGACTCATAAAAAGATTAACCCAAATTAAACAATCAATCAAACTAAACAATAACCATCATAGGAGAAAAGATGTAGAGAATGCAATTTAGACAAAAATGGAGGTAAAACACACTCCAACAAAGCCTGCTTATGATCATATGACAGAATATCACGCAAGCAGTCAAATTGCATACAAATGGTACAGGTGATAACAATTATGATTTGTGGAATATCTGTTCATACAAATCAATCAATATATGCAGAAACAGAATATAAAAGAAAAATAAGTTGGGTTTAGGGAGCAAGAAAATAGTGGTAAATGAAAATCTAAGATAATAAGCCTGAACTCCAATTTCTACTAGCACAAAAAATAAGATAGAACTAAGAAGTTGTAGGGGAAAAAATGACTAGGAATTTAGAAAACATTTGAAAAAACAAGAATACATTGATGGTGGTGAACCATTGGATCCTTGTTTTCACATTTATAATTTCAAATAAGATAACAAGAAAAAATGGCGTTAACTATTAAATGAAGGGCATCAACGATGACATAGAAACTCAAGAAACAAGAAATAAATGTAAAATATGTTGGGCTTCATCTGGTAATGTATTTCAACTTCAAAGTTTTTCAAAACCAACTCATAATTTTACTTTGTGGAAACGTATAACATATTTCCTTAGCCCGGCGAATGCAACCCCTCCACACCTCAATAAAAACACATACTTCAGGTGAGACTCATTTTATGATTAATATCAACGCATCAATACTTACCAAAAATAAAGAAAATATAAATAAAAGAGCAACGAAGCAAGAAAAATCACCTCCTTATCTTGATTATCATCTGATATAAACTCAAAAGGAGAACTTTCAGCATCTTCATTAGTACAAGAATATTCAGACAAAGAAACTGAAGCTGGACTTGATTTTGAATGAACCTGATGGGTGTAACCCAAAGAATGAGATTACAAATTCCTCAAAACAAATAAACAAAAAAATAGATATGATGAAAACAATAATCAAAATACAAGACACGAGTGCAACCCAAAGAGGCATTTAAACTCTAAACACAAATGGAGCTTACATAACAAAATTTATAGCACTAAAATAGCATTTATCAAGTACTACATAACGAGGCATACCATAGTACCATGTGCCTGTGTTAAGATAAACAGGATATCACAGTCGATACGAGTAAAATTAAATGTGTATGCTGACAAAACATGGTGGGGTGGACTGGGGTGGGCGCTTGTTTCTGTCTACACAATCGATTATAAGAATTGCCATATATTTCCCTCGTACTGGAAATAATAGACTGATTTACACTAAAAAGAAACATATTATGTGCTTAATGAATTTAGTAAAAATTGTGGGGTAACTACTAGAACAAATTTCCTGCTTGACTTTAATGCCATAAAAAATTGAGCACTCTCAAATTTCAAAATTCTCATGCAGCATCACTGCATAAGCGGTTAAAACTCCAATCTTTATTTTTACTCTAGATGAGCTAGCTTCTCCAATAAAAACTGCTCCAGCGACAGACATTCTCCTTCATGACGCTGACAAATTAGCTCTAGCATGCATTATATTCATGTTTGCACAAAATCTCTATTAGACGTGCAATCCATCACATTTCACTCGTCCCTATCTTGTCCCTCAAATAGCCACACCATAGAACTCTCCCCAGAATAAGATCTACTAGTCATACTACTGTGTAAATGAGAGGATTTATGATTGACCTATGTGTGGGTCCCCGAAAGGATTTTGCACGAGGAGAACATGATGCAAAGGGCATGATCGTACTATCCCGTAGGACAAAACGGTCGTAGAGATGTATTTTATGTATTTTAGAGTTTCTTTTGATTGATTAAAGTCCTTAAGATAGTAAATTGAATAAAGAACTTTTTGTATTTTAGGTTGGTTAAATGGTTTTAGGAGCTTTATAGATTCAATTAAAAGTTGACATATTCGTTATATTTTATTAATCATATAAGTTTTAAGTTTGGCATACATTTCTTTTATATATATACATAAAGTTGATTATGATATAATTTATAAAATTTAATTTGTTGCTAATTTATTATCAGTTATTTAGGTTATGCGATTATTAACCTTGTTAAACCTAGGTCATGAGGTTTATTTCACCCTCCTTGGGGCTAACTTAATGGCCTTGTAGGCCCAGGTTACTAGATAACCACCTCGTTATTATTAAGTTTTATGTCTGTTGCTTAGTGATTTTTTTTAGTGTATGATTTTCATTACAGTTAGTTTATTACAAGTTTTAAAATTAATCATGAATTTATTAGATGTATTTTATCCATTGGTTTTACAACTTTTAAAAGTTCTTTAAATTGTAATTTTAGGAGCCAATGAACTTCAAATATGAGGTATTATATTAAGCTTAGATAAAAAAACTAAAGACACTCGTTATTGGGAAAAGGGAATCTACCTATTCATACTAAAGCTTAAATTTATTCCATTTTTATATATTTTCATTAACATGCTCATAAAAGACACATTTAGAGGCTAAAAATCATTAAGAAAAATTTTAGAGTTATTCAATATATCTTAAAATCCCAAAAAAATTGTTCTAATGGTGCCTACTTCGTGTGGGAAAAGCGATGCATATAGCACAAATATGTGGCTTACACTACAAGCCTAAAATGGCCCTAAGGCTCTATAGGTTTCTGTAGGTCAAAACTTCGTCAGTGCACTAACCTATAGCCAGCTAACTAAACATCTTAGCAAATATATTTGGGCGGGAAAGTAAAAGCAGTCAACAATGTGTGTGCTTATGTGTAACCGTTCGAAAATACAATGAGAAATCTCTACATGACTATCAAGGTATACATGACCATGGCGTGCCCATTTAAAAGCTCCCAAGCAGGCGACACACCGACAATTGCATATGCAAGACATCATACCTCACAAACAATAAAGCTAAGGAAAACATAGGGTTAGGGTAGAGGTTATTCAAAAAGTGTTGCAAGTAAATGACAAATCTAATTAACAGAAAAAAAAAAACTTAACATTTACATTTGTTAAACACATGCATATCATTGTTAAAATATAAAGGGTTTTCAAACATAGAGTGTAAGAAAAGCTATACATGAATCATATGAAAAGCTAACAATCTCAAACATAGAAATTTATTATTGTAGTATACATAAGAAGAGCATATATAAAGCATGCGAAAATCTACTAACATGTGTGGGCTCCGAAAATTTGGCCCTGGCCTCCGCCCGACTGTTTACTTTTTCTTTTAGGGGGAGTTTTAACGAACTAAGTTCCGGGGTAAATTTTGGAATGCAAATGAGTTTGTAGATAAAACACTACCCAGAGATTTTGCCCTCATTTTGCGAGGACTTTATGATCTGAGTTCTGGTTTCCTATAGGCGCAAGCCCCTATAGTTAATTACCCCTCCCGATAATGAGAGAGAACTTTCGATTAAGGCTAGTCATCAATTAGATACGTAAGAATACGTGTTATCTGGCATATGGTAGCATCATTGGGCATGGAAATTAGAAGTTTGAAAGGTTGGAAATTTAAAGGTTTTGGAAGATTTAATATTTAAAATAGAGATTTCACCACCTTGCACTTAAAGCTGATTGAGGAATGGATGATGGACCCGATCAAGATCCCATGGTTCTGTTGTCCCGGGCCATCGTGGTCCCTGGTCTACTTAGTCAGAGGAGATAGTCGACCCAACCTGACAGAAGGATCCTTGTCGGCAGTCATGAGTTGCTTCGTCCAAGGGAATCTTGTAGACCTGGGTTGAATATTTGTCTAAGGGGACAAATTTGAATCCACCGTTAGCTAACAGAGGGCTTTGTGCCCTATCAATCATGTCCTATTGATTTATATCTTAAGGATTTGATGCCACTAAAGAGCGTATTGGCTCTGGCCATAATCGGTATTTCGTGGTGCCATTTGACGGCAAAATCACTCGGTTCAGAGAACCCCGGGTCATAACCGTTTATCATGCGGTGCCATTTGGCGGCAAAACCGCCGGTTAGAGCACACGTACCACGTCCTTACTAGCAGGAGATTGTTTGAGAATGGATCCTAATGATATTTTCGACTAGGCATTAGCTCTATGTGAGCTGAAGTAAATTTCAATTTGTCCACCTCGGTAAACTGTTGTGTAGGGTGGATGGATTTTTCTTCAAGTGCTTTATGGTTGGATTTCAGTTTTAAATATTTGGAATTTGCATGATCTTTGGGATTTTGGATTTTTGGGCATTTGAACATTTGGGGGGCATTGGAAAATATTTGTGACTCCCTCCGATTGAGATAAACATTCAACGCGGTCATCATCGGGGTGTTTGTAGTCATTTGAAAATATTTATGCTTTAAACCTTATCAACTCTGTCGGGTTGTCGATAGAGGATCGGGTTTCATAGGCTTCATATCTTTGTTTGTGAATTTTCTTTGTTAAAGGCCTAATATGAACGAGTAAAATAAATATTCCGGTCAACTTCGTGACCGCATATTTATCCGATGGTTCGAAACCTGTCTACTCCTATTTAACTGCTTAGGAGGACCAGGTTTCATAGGCTTTATGCCTTTATTAATGAATTCTCTTGATTATAGGCCTTGAAGGCCAAATATGAATGTATTAAAACAAATATGCCGATCCCCATAACCGTATATTTGTTTGATAGTTCGAACCCTATCGACTCCTATTGATCCACATAAAAGGATCATGTTCGAACTTAAATTCACTTATTGACCCGCGCAGCATCCCTAAACGTCATGTGTATACCAATAACACGCTCGTCGGGGCCCACGCGGGTTTTGTGAATGCATTTACCCCATGTATACCTATGTGTATATAAACTACGATGCATGTACAGGGGTACTTTGAAATATTTATAAATGCCTTCTATCCGCTAATACAAGTGTTGTGGATCCAATGGCGTGGTATAGCAGCTTCTGAATAAAGGTTTTCGTTGCTTTGTACAGATAGACTGTCGTGCACCACTTGTTGCTTTATGCAGGCAAAATTTTAGTGCACTAACGAATTTGACAAGCTTCACACTTAGCTACATATTTTGCAATGTCTTTCTTCATACCGGGCCACCAGAATATTAATTTCAAGTCTTTATACATCATGGTATTGCCTGGATGAATTGTATAACCAAAATGATGGGCTTCTTTTAAAACTTCCTTTCTTAAATCCATATCGTTCGGTATCCACAACTGGAATTTGTGCTTAATGATTCCCTCAAGATCAACATCAAGATTGGGTCTTTTCCCTTAAGCTCTGATGCCAATTTCTGTCACATCCCAATTTGGCCTACCCCCTAACGGTCAATCTGAAGTATAACAGAGAAGGAAAATCTAAACCGGTTCCTTCATACTAACACCCATTTTGAGCCACCACTTTCAGAATGGAGTGAGTAAAAGAAATCTATTTAGACTCTCCTAACTTGCCAACCTATCTAATTCCATAATTAATAATGGAAAACATATAATGTCCCTTAATGAACATCAAATATAATTGAAGTAAATACGAGCTCTATTAAAACTTTTAAAATTCATTCACATACCCAAAAGTCTATACATCTAGCTTCATATCTCGTTTTAGATCTCTTTGCACACCCAAAATGTATTTACACCAAAAGAATAGTCACCACTTTTTATTGTCCCAAGGGCTCCTTCCCCTTTCCTGCAGTACAACCACTGCTAATAAGCTAGGCCCAATGAAATACACAAACAATTTATAAGAAATAATAATAAACAAATAAGAAATGCTTAATAATGCTAACATAGTTAAAACGCATATTGAAAGGTCATATTGAGCCTAAAAGTACTTAGCTTAGTGTTGACCTGTTGTATCAAAAAAAAAATCAAAATCAAATCTTACCTGCTCTGCCCCCGCACATCGCACGACTTCCTCCCACGTCGCTGGAACATCGACGTCACCTCACGCAT